GAAACGCTGAAAACTAACTTAAAAAACAAAGACAAAGAAAAAGTGGTCGGAGCAGTCGTGACGGCAGCCGACCTCACCGGCGCCATCTTTCACAGATTGTCATTCAGGATTTTCTGGTAGAGGGCAGAATTCATGGTTCCATCAATTTCAGCAAGTCATCCTGAACGAGCAAAGCAGCCCCTGACTATCATACTGCCACCACCGTGTTTGACTGTTGGGGGGGATCTTGTCAGTTTCCAAAATGTTTTCCCAAAAGTCTTTGATCATCAAGATGATTTTTGGCAACCGTGAGAGGAGCCTTTATGCTCTTTTTGGTCAGCGGTGGTTTTAACCATGGATCACTCCCAATGCCATTTTACCCAGGCTTTTTCTTATTGTTGAATCATGAACTCTGACAGTAATTGAGACATGTGAGGCCTGCGGTTCTTAAATTGTTATTCTGAGCTTTTTGTGACCTCCTAGACAAGTCACCAATGTGGTCTTGTAGTAATTTTGGTAGACCAGTCACTCCTGGGAGGGTTCAACACTGTTCCAAGTTTTCTCCATTTGTTGATAACAGGTCTCACACCATGATTCACTGCAGTCCAAAAACCTAAATAGCTTTGTGACCCTTTCCAGACAGATAGGTGTCAGGGACTTGTTTCTGAGCTGTTTCTTTATGTTCTTGTGTGCATTGCTTTTTGACATCTTTTAACTTACTTCACTTTGTCAAACAGGTTCTGTTTAAGGGATGATTGATTCAGCAGGTCTGGCAGCAATGAGGCTTGCGTGAGATCAGTGAAATGGAAGACTGCTTTCCAAAAAAAAGTCATCAATCACACTTAAATCATGTTTTAACAAAGGTTGGATGAATTGCTTTCTCATATATGCTGGGCAGGTTTGAATAGCTTCTTTCCCTTAATAAATGAAATTATCATTTAAAACTGCTTTTGTATTTATCTTTCTTTGTCTAATATCAAAATTAGTTTGATGATCTGAAACATGTGTGACAAATAACTACGTAAATAACGAATTAACTTTAAAAAAAACAACAACAACCTAGGATTCAGGAAAGGGGCAAATAGTTTTTCACAGCACTGTGTATAAATAAACTAACTTGTTTATTTTTTAAAATGCTTCAGGGTGATGATGTTCTCCTTCTGCACCAAAGTAGAATTTTAAACACGGAATGGTTGCTTTAAGGGTATATTTTATTATAGTTACGTTACCTTAAACCAAGAGCTATCTGTTACACAGATGTGAAAAACATGTATCGACCCCTAAGTCTTCTGTTCGAGAAATAAACAGGTTGTGTGGGGCTGCATTAGAAAACACGTGACTTTCTGGGTGTTTCTGAACACTCGTGTCACATGATCGTGCCAGTGATTTTGTTAAGTGTTGAAGGCGAGTGCAGTTAACCGCAGAGCTAGCAGGTAAAGAAGCAAGTTGGAATTACGTAGCCAGAAGCTGTTGAGGGTTTTGTTTTCAAGAGAAGCGCTTTGTCATTGCTCCGCGAGACTTTCGTCTGTTTTCTTGCCGTTGTTGTGACGCTAACATTAGCCGAGCTAGCCCAGCGACTGCTAACATTAGCTAACTCCCTGCGCCCTGTTTGTTGTTGTGCTTCTGTGATTTCGCGCAGACAAGTGCTGAGCCATCCCGAGGGAAACAACAGAAACATGGTGCAAATCTGTCGTGTCCAGTCATGGTTTGTGGGAGTAACGCCACTCCTCATTTTCGGTGAGTATTTTGTTTCGGTTTAGTTCACATTAGCAACACGATTACAAAATCCGAAGATCTGAAATTAGCAGCACTCCAACGTTTACACCAACGCTGCTAACGCTACATGCTAATGGTTTAAAACTTATTGGTTTAACTAAATAATTAAAGTGTTGCTGTGGTAAAATCAGCGTTTTAAACACTTAAACGAACTTGAGTGCCGCCTTATACTGCGAAAATATATGACAACAAATGTGCTGAAGCGTCGTTTGGGTGTTTTCTTCCTTATTACCTGTCCTTTGTCTAGTAGCAAGGAAATCTAGGGCACATACATACATACATACATACATACAGCATTTGTGCCTAAAAAAGAAGCTTACACCAAATTAGGTGTAAAGATTAATGATCATGGTTATGGGTGATTAGTTATTGTATGTAAGGGGGTGTTTAGATTTGCTATGAGGCTTCACGTTCTGGTTTTACAATGTTGTCAGTTTTTGAGGTTTTCTTTAGTGGCGATTTAAATGTACAATAAGTCTTTTTTTAAGTTTTATATATATGTATATGTGTGTGTGTGTGTGTGTGTGTGCTAGTAAGTACATACACATAAAACTTAAAATGGGTTAGGACACATAAAACGGTCCAGTGCTTAAGTTCTTTTTGAGCTGAATATGTGCTGAATTTGCTGTAGTCCCCCCCTTGAGGGAGCAGATGAAAGTACGTTCGTCAAGTACTCCATGCCGGCCAAACCAGGAGGTTGGAATTTCCAACTTCGTACTTGTATACAGCGCATTTCAACCCAAACCAGTTGTTTAAGGATGTGCTTGATAGTCATGGTTTACAGTAAATGCAAATAACCTTTCCAAGCTTGGCAGATGAATGAGGAAAAAGCACTGAAAAGGCAAATGATGCACACTGAAGTTAAAATAAAGCCATACACCATAAACAGAAGACACTCTTAAAGTCTCAAAACTTTAATTTATGATAGTTCTTTTTTAAAATCACACGTACTAGTTTAATATTATACTTTAAAAGCCGAATCAACCACTGCATTCATGTTGTTTCAGAGTTTTGCCTGTTGGTTGGATAGAACAAGAAAATTAATATTCAACATAATCCACACATTAATTTGAGAAGAAAATAACTGAGCTCAAGCCCTTTTTACTTCCCACTCAACTCCTTTTTAATTTTCTGTCTCAGATTTGAAGTTGCTAGAATAATCTTTTGATGTGGGAGGCTACTCTTTTCCTTTTATTATCAGCTCATTGATGGGTCAAATTTCTACCTTTTCATTTGTAAACCATCTGATTCGGTGAGTAATTGGGGAAAACAAAGTAGTCCTAAACATGTAGCCATGTGTTCACACATAAAGGCTTTGTGGACCACTTAGGCTATATGGAACACTTAAAAACAAAAAAGTTGTATTCGATGGCACCAAAATTGATTCAAGTAATGGCACAAGGTGAAAATTGACTGTGGGCCCTTTTTATTTACTGCATACTATTAATATCAATGTTTATCTCATATTTATTTTTAGTTTTGGACATTTTGAAGCTTTGTAGTCTTTGACTTGTAAACGATTGTGTTTTGCAGTGACTGTCCTGCACCAGGGCTTTGCTACTGTTGCCCCGCCCACTCCCGCACCACACAAAGAACCCGGAAGACCTGAAAGAGGACACTACAACGTCACGAATAACGGCACCATCTGTTTAATGGCATACATGGGCCTCCAGCTCAACATCTCATACAACTCCACCTCCCAGAAAAAGGTGCCGCAATAAAACCTGCACGTAACTGATAGGCGAATGCCGCAGGTTAAAAGTATTTGGACAAATAACATTTCATGATTTTCTTTACAGGTTGTCCAGGATGTGATGAACTTACAACCCAATTTGACAAAACACTCTGGATCATGTGATTCTGAGATCGCGTCCCTGCAGCTCACAGTGGATGCTGTTAAAACCAGCCTCACCTTTGTCTTCACTATGGTGAGTTTCTGTTTTCATCATGTACTTCCTAAAGAAGCCACTAGATGGCAGCTGGAGCTTGAAGTTAACCTGCTCTAATGCAGTGGCGCTCTCTTGGCTGTGCTTTTGTTTTTTCCACTAGAACTCCACATCCAACAAGTACCACTTAAGTGAAGTGAACGTGTCAGCGGCCTGGCCGGACATGAAAGGTGAGGCTCCTCGACTTCTTAGGTTGTATCCAGGTAGTCTGTATCTGATTAATGAACATGTGTGCAACCTATTTTGTGACCTACTCTTCAGTGTAGTCCATACACACACACACATGTATATGTATAAACTAGGTGTGAGTGGTCATGTGTTGCTCAGGTCCTTGTCTAATCAGTAATATTGTGATGGGATCTGAAACCGACTAAAACACATTGAAAATGCATTTGCATTGATGTCAGACCAGGCCGCATCATGGTGTAAAGGTGCTTCCAAAATGGACACAGCGTTCATTGCACTTGCTCATTGGTTCGAGGGAAGTGCAGTGGACATAGCAATATAGGCGGGGTTTAAATGGTTCAAATATCAGTGTGTATTCTGTACCTCTTTTCATCAATACATCAAGGATTTTCTTAGATCTGAGTTATTTGCAGCAAAGCACAACAAAGCATTGCTGTTTTCTTGTATTGCTCACCTACACCAAGCTGCTCAAGTTTTAAAATACACACTGAGTGTGTGTGCTTGGATGGGAATCCATTTCTATGAAAGAGGTTTCTTTCTGTAGCATCACCTTGGATACATGTGAACTAATTCAGTGAATTCAGACACAGATAACAACTTTTTCCTTGTCTCCCACATACCGGCTGGACACCTTGTTTCTTTTGGTGACGTAGGCAGTTGTCACAGCGGTCAGAGTTCACGTTTGTTTGGTGTTTGTTCAGATTAAACAAATTAGCCGGATTTCTTTGCTCCTGAGCTGCACACCGCACATTTCCCAGTGCAACAACGGAGCACAATTGTGTTTCAATAGCCATTTATAAATATTGTTTTTCACAAGCGCACTGCGTGCTGACAGATGTTATGATATTGGTCATGCAGTTGACAGTAGAATTGTTTTTGATCATCAATCGGTACCACTTGAAGTCTGTCACACTTCAAGTGGATTCAATTGGATTCAGTTGTAGTTTAGTTCAGTTTTATTGTAATAGCACCAAATTACAACAGTGGTCACCTCAGTCACCTGCACTGTCAAGGTGCTTTATACTGCAAGATGAAGACCCTACAGTATTCAGGAAGAAACCCCAACAATCAGATGAATCCTTATGAGCAAGCACTTGGCGACAGTGGGAATTAAAAAATGCCTTGTTTCAGACAGATGATGAATTGAAGGGAAGCGCCAAGACATAGTATAAAATAACTAAGAATGATTTTGAAATGTGAGTCACAGAAAGCTACTTTAGCAGAGTCCACAAAAAAACAAATATGGAGCTGTAAACTGGCTCTCTTCAGTGAATTTAAAGCAGCTTTCATCGCTCAGATTAGCGAGAATGTTGTTCTGCTGTGGTGTCTCTTAATTCATTGTTTACTGAGGTCACACACATTACAACAGACTACAGGTTGTAGTTTTGTAGTAATTATGGTGAAGTTGGAAAAAAGCAGTATGCAAAATTAAGTCCTTATCTTTGTGTTAAAGTCACAGTGAAACTGAAACTGTAGTGTTTCCGTGCACTGACACATTTGCAGGTCATGCAGAAAATGCGGGCAGGTTTAAGCATTGTGGGCTTACCTCAAACCGTAAGACACACTTTATTGATTTAAATTTCATTTACCAGAAGATAACTGATCAACAAACACACCGAATCTGAACTTTATTAACATGTAGTTCATTTAAATTTCTCCCTCATAATCATTTTTTTCCCTTCTTATATGAATCTGTTTTCGCACTTGATACACTTCTCATGTCCATTCTGTTTTCTGCTTTAGAGCATATTTCAGGCCATAACAGCAGTCTGGACTACCTGCGGGGAACCGTGGGGTACTCGTACTACTGCCGTGACGAGCAAACTCTAAACGTGGTCCAGAATTTGTCCATCAACACCTTCCAGTTGCAGGTGCAGCCTTTCGCCGTGAAAGGAGATCAGTTTGGAGCAGGTAAACACTTCCGCCTAGTAGAGTGTGATCAAAACACATCATCTCCTCCTTGTCCTTTCTCACGTGTCCTTTTCTGTCTATCAGCTGAGGAATGCCAGCTGGATGAAGATGACATGTTGATCCCCATTGTAGTCGGAGCAGCTTTAGCGGGGCTTGTTGCCATCGTGCTCTTGGCCTACCTCATTGGGAGGAAGAGGAGCCACGCTGGCTACCAGAGCATCTGAGGTCACTCCTTACTCACATGTTGTCAGAGGCCTGAACGCGGCCCTATCCTACCTGAAAATTAACCACTGTCTTTCGAGACTTGAAGCTCGCCCCTCTTCCCCTCCATGTTTCTCTCCCTGCCTCTGTGTGTGTGTGTGTGTGCTGTTCTTTGCCCTCATAAGTAACACTAATTATTATCACCTTGTTGAGGTTCATATGTGCTTTCTGAACTGACCCGCTCTTTCTTAAAAAAGGGAATTATTTAGAAGATTGTAATGAAATGAGGCCAACTTCTCACTGGTACTATGTAAAGGAGGGGATGCATGTTTGCAGAGGATCAATTATAGTCCTCGAGTTGCTATTTATGATTTCTATGAAAGGAATTTTGAGGGATTTGGGGATTTAGAAACTGGGGTTTGTCTGTTATGGAATGACCATTTTTATTGGTCCAGCATAAAATGAGGTTTGCTGTTACAAAGGGAATATTTCTGCCAGTTATACTTAAACTACGTCCGACAGTTGAGAACTGAACTGATTATTTACCTGCAAGCTGTATGCACGTTTGAAAGAACATATTTAGAAACACAATAACCTAATCCTAAAAAGGATGTGTGAGGAGTCCTCTTGTAGCTCTACGATGCATTTTAGAATTAACTTTCTTTTTTAAGCAGGGTTAGCGTTTCAAAGCTTTTCACTCCCTCTTTCGGACACACAGCATATTTTCTGTTGTGAGTCAATTTTAGTTTCATTCAGCTTGTGGAAATGGACTCATTTGCTTGCTTTCAGAGTTATGAGACACATTTATATTTACTAAATTTAAAGCTACAGCCAGAAGACTTAACGTGACATTAAAATTGGAAACGGAAACCCTTAAAACTCTGTGAGTAAACCATTAACCTTGTACACACTCTGAACTTTATTGAGTGTGAAATTAGTGAATATGCCTGGCCAGACTCGTACTCCCACTGTAAAATACCTGTGTATTATTTTTACATTGGATGAGTTGGTCACTTCATGTGTTGCGGCCGTCAAGGCACAGGTAGCCTTTGCAGTATTTTCCTGAATGGCAACTGTCACCACTCACAATACCGCGACATAAGCGCTGATATTGAAAGAGAAAACGTCAAAACCGAAAGCAAGGATTTTCCTGAAAGTTTTTCGCACGAGGTCACCACTTTTAAATCTCGTCGCAATGTGCAACGACAACAAAATGGCAGCAGGGGCCAATGGTTGTGATATCGTTTCCGGCACGCACCAAAAGGGGGGAGCATTAAAACACTGACCTTTGTTACCTTCAGTACCTTCTCCTCTTGCTTCCGTTCTTAACCAACATGCAGTCTTTGGCTATAGCTTTGCACTGACCAGCCACAGCATCAAAACCACTGGCAGCTGAAGTGAACCGTGATGTTTATTTAATTTCAGTGCAGTATTCTGCTGGGAAGGGTTGGGCACTACAAGTCACGTGGAAGTCTGTAGCTCGAGTTAAAAGCAACTGGATTTCTTTTGCAGGGACTTTGAAGCTTCTTCATTTCTAAAAGCTGGTGGAGAGTCATAGTTGACTTCTGATCAAGTACTAAAAAAGATCTAAAAAAGGAACCCTTAGAGCTAAAAAAGAAAATCCAGCTGCCTTCAACTGAAGTCAAGACAGTTTGTGTCGATGTTACTTTAATCTGCAGCATAAACCTTACTGGAAATTCAGCACAAACCAGGATAGCATCTGCATCTCCCTGCAGAACAATTCACCAGACTACACTCTAGAAACATTTCAGGAATGGCTTGAGGAACATGACAAAGTGCCAAAGGTGTTGACCTGGCCCTCAAGCTCCCCAAAGCCCAAACGGATGTGCCAGAAATGCACATCTGTTACCATGTCAGTGTCCCAGCAGTCAATAGTAAATGATCTGATACTTATATAGTTCTTTGCTACTGAATTTGAGCTCTCAAAGTGCTTCCTACTACAAACCTCATTCAGCCATTCACACACATTCATAGGAGTGCTTTTTTCTATGACAAAGCACTTTTTAATCTAACCTAACACACACTCCCAGTCTGAGAAACTTAGGGTTCAGCATCTGGCCTGAGGATTGCCCAGAGATTGAATCAGTGATCTCCCGCTTAACAGATGACCTACTCAGCGTCAGTGCCACTGACTCGATTTTGGTGGCGCAAGGGGGGACGTGCCATGTTAGATATCTGGTTTTAAAGTTGTGGCTGACTAGTGTATATTTACTGTGTAGATAAAGAAACAGTTGACACAAAAGCAACAAAAAAAGTTTGTTTCCCACAAGGCTGATAGTCACTCCTATGAATTCTGTCGTTACAACACAACCAAAACAGGATCTAACAGCATTGTTGGTTTAAATGAAGCCCAAAGCCTAAACATCTCTGTAGGAACTTAACAAAATTCCTACAGAGATGGTTTTGTTTTGCTTGGGATGTTGGTTCCTGAAAGAAAAGTAGTTTAACTGCAGTCCTGAGAAACAGCCCCGTGTCATTATTAAAAAGGCCAAAGTGCTCTGGTCAGTGTTCATCAGTGCCTTCCCAGCTGTAACATGGATGAGACTCAAGTAATGCTAATATCACACAGGAACTCGCTCACTCACCCACACTGTGCTGCCATAACTGAGACATGTTTGTGTCTCCCGTAGCCTTCGTGTACTGTTACTACCATAAATATGCATTGTTCGATGTAGTAGGAAAAAGCACAGATAATTTGTTTTTGTGGGGTTTTTCCCCCCTCCCTCATGTTAATACTCATGTAGTTATTTAATAAAGTTTTATTAGATTTGTCTGAACATTTTTTTTTTTTTTTTTTTTTTTTTTTTTTAAGGAGAGGTCAATAAAAGTGATGAATGAGGCCATCTGACTCTTTGTTTTGCCTTCATGCTGTTTGTTAGCAGACAAACCTGTTCCCTGTTGGGTTTTTATTTGTTTGGGCTCCTTAGAAGCGGATGTTCATTATTTGACAAGGAAGGTATTGAATACCATCAAAGACTAAATTCCAATATCATTTTTTTTAGAGAATACAAACATATTCACTGTGTTTTAACCACAGTTTTGACATTTGAATAAAGTTAAAAGAACAAAGCAAATAGCCAAGTTCATACCTGCGAGTAAAGAGTGGGAGGTTAAGGGAAGTTAAATGAACATGGTGTTTGACTGTCAAAGCAGTCCCCGAGCAACAGGGAGCCTGTTACAACGCACGTGTTGACTAAATAATGTAAATGTCACTTGGAAACAGCAAATTTGCATCAGTCCATGCAGAGACTGGATCTGCAGGGTGCGGTCATGGAGGATACAACACATCCTATAAGGCACAAAATGACTGAAAAAGGGATACAAAACCAGGTTATGTGATGCAATGGGAACATGAGGAAATGTAAAACAGTTACAAAGAGGTACTTTTACAACCCTGTGTCCAGTAAAGGTGGGTGTGCCATAATGGTGTAAAATCCACCAGTGTCACGTTTGATGTCTTTCTAATATTTTTGATAAATTATGGTGTTAAGATCATTTGCACATCATTTGCGTTTGGTTTTTATTTACATAGCGCCCCAACTTGTTTGGAAACTTCTTTTTTTTATAGCAGAGCCACCTTCTCACAGTCTTATTCATAGCTGTTGGGGATTTGGGTTTACTAACATCAGCTATTCTATAGTTTGCATTTTAATTTCAAAAGTTGTTTATCTGTATTATCTACATTCATTTTGCATTTGAATATTTACTTATTGTACTTTATGATAGTTTACAGACTATTATGGCTAGGGCTGTTCATATAACGATATATATCGGATGACGATATAAAAACGTCTATCATTTCATTTTACGCTATCGTTTGTTTCGTGGTGTCGCAAAATAAACTGTTTACGGCAATATTTTTTCATCGTTTTGATCAGAATCAGAATGGGGTTTATTGCCAAATGTTGAGCAGGTTTACAACATTAGGAAATTGCTGCGGTGCTTCAGTGCAAACATGGTGTCATGAATAACACTTAAATAGACATGGAAAAAATAAAAGTAGGGATAAGAATTAAAAGTGCTACGTGGAAAGATATGTGCATGAGATATACATGAGATATATACATGAGAGTAAGAATTAAGAGTGCTACGTTGAAAGATATATACATGAGTGCAGGTGGTGATCAGTGCCAAACATGGAATGATGCAGTGAACACAGCGTAGGGTCATGTGTTAGTGGCGGGGACAGTCATATGGTTATTGTTCATGTGTCCAACAGCAGAGGGGAAGAAACTGTTCTTATGGCGAGAGGTTCTGGTGCGTATGGACCGGAGCCTCCTGCCTGAGGGGAGCAGGTCAAACAGACTGTGTCCAGGGTGAGAAGGGTCAGCTGAGATCCGAGCTGCACGCCGCAATGTCCTGGAGGTGTACAGGTCCTGCAAAGATGGGAGTCTGCAGCCAATCACCTTCTCAGCAGAGCGCACAACACGCTGCAGTCTCTGTTTGTCCCTGATAGTGGCTCCAGCGTACCACACGGTGATGGAGGAGGTGAGGATGGTCACTGTAGTGTCTATATTAATTTCTTAAAGTTCTCTCTTTCTCTTATATTTAATATAACCACACTACAGATGGACAAGCGCCTGTTTTGGGTTGTGGTTAGCAACAACGACGGTAACAGCATCGCGTGTCCGCTTGTTTATGTTCCACATAAACCTTTCACAATAAAGCTCAAGATCCTGTTGAGACTTTTCAAAATAAACTGAATCACGTGAAAGAGCAGATTATTTACGGATGAGAATTAAAAAAGAGCCGCCAGGTGCTAAAAAATAAACCTTAGACTCAAACGTTAGAACAGGCTTTTCCCCGCAGCACGCCGTGTAATAAATACTCACAAAGAAAACGGCGGCTGTTACAACTTATGTCTAAAAATGTATAGTTTCATGCATCGGTTAAAACACTCGACTCCAGCTACATGACGCGCAGCTGGAAACACTTCCCGAAAGACGAGATTCACAGAATTTACAGAAAATGTTACATTTCTGTGATTTATATCGTTAGTGACGATAGAATTCTTATATCGGGATATGAGATTTTGGTCATATCGCACAGCCCTAATTATGGCCTAGAAAAAGGGTCAGTGTATGCCTCTGCAGATTTCAGATATTCTATCGTATTTAGTAAAAGATTGCAGATCACAGTTTCCAGTTATAGTAACTGATTATCTATTTATAACAGAAACAAAGCACTAAGAGCTAAAATGAACAACATTATCTGTATCACTGAGGTAATTTGTCCAACACAGCATTTGTAGACTTGCACTCACTGACCACTTAATTAGATAAACTCATTCAACTGCTCGTTAATGGAAATATCTAATCAGCGAATTGTGTGGCAGCAACTGTCATTCAGGCATGCAGACATGGTCGAGATGACCTGCCAAAGTTCAAACTGAGCATCAGAATGGGGAAGGACGGTGATAAGAACAACTCTGAATGTGTTATAGTGCCTTGGTAGAATGCCCAGGCTGCTTCAAGCTGGCAGGAAGGCAGCAGTAATGCAAATAACAGAAGAGAAGTATCCCTTAACACGCACCAAGATCGCACCAAGTGCCACTCCTGCCAGCTAAAAAAAAGGCAACAGGTTATAATTACATGTGGTCACTGGAGCTGAACATTAGAAGACTGGAAAAATGTTTCCTGTTTCTGCTGTGACATTCAGATGGTAGGATCAGAGTTCACACTAAACAACAAGAAAACATTTATCCATCCTTACTTCTCTCAGTGGTTCAATGGCTGTGGTGGAACACGAGATTCACAAATCCGACAGTCACTGCTGAAAAATCTGCAGCAACTGTTTTGTGCTATCATTCAATATGGACCAAAATCTTTCCATGGCTTTTATGAATCTGTACCATGAAATCCCACTCATTGCAACGTGTACTTACTAAAGTGGCTGGTGAGCATATAACTTTAATAGCTTTGTAGACTATGCCTGAATTCATGACTGACACACACAAATAATACTGATGCTACCATTTAGCAGAAGCATTCAGCAAAGTCAGGAAGCAGATGGGGTAAGTTCATGGGTTTTATTTTACAACAAAAAGTGAAAAATGAGACTGAGCTCCATAAATTTAAACAGAAACCACCACATTAAAAGCGTGACCCTTCAGCTTTACGTTCTCTTGTAAACAGTCCTAAAGGCAAGAGACAGAACAAAGTATTCACAGTAAAAATAAGTGATCCGTCCATAATCACCAAAGCAAAAGTGTTTTTAGAAAATACACATGTAAATGCTGTTTGGTGCGGTGTTATGATCTTAATGTACTTCTGTATATATAGCAGCAAATATAGTAGGTGAAAGATTGGAGTCAAAATCAAAAGACAAGCCTCAGAAGCATAAGCCTTCATATTAAGATACCCAGTCTGCCAGATTAGAGTGTAACAAAGTATAAATCACAGAAGTAACCAGAAGAGTCACCAACATGTATGTTTCATACAGTTCCTGTAGTCATGTTTCATACGTTCCTGACTGTACAGTGTTACTTACGCTGCCTGAGCCTTTGTTTTATTAAATCCAGTATAAGGGGAAAGTGTCCTGAACCTCATGGGTGTCCTGATTCCTCCCTGAGAATTTGTTGTCTGCATTTCTCTCTCAGTTTATCAACAGTCGACATCGACAGGCTCTTAGGTTCCGTAAAGATCTTCTGCAAAGGAACAATTAAGGAGTGCTTAGGCTTTTTTCTACTCAAAATAAAAATAAAAACTACAATTAAAACTGTGTAAATACTTTTAACAGATTATCTTCTGCACAGTCTCATGGACTGGTGAAGTTAGAATAGCTGAAATGTAGCACTTCCCCATGAATTGTTTTTCTTTTTCGGGAAGTATTCTTTAAAAAAGATGTTTTATGACCATAAGTAGTGACATTTTTCTCTGGCCCCTTCCTCACCGTCATTGTATTTGGCCATCTCACCTGCATAAAGGTGTGGCAGTCTAGAGTGAAAGCCCCAGAAGTGATCTGTTTGAAGCATTCGCACACGTCAGGCAAAGAGCGCGCTCTCAGGATCTCTGCCTGGTGGTGAAGGATGAGAGTAAGAGCCACGCGGAAAAGTACTTTGGATCCCTCGTAGAAAAGACAATCCCAGACCCGCAGAACAGTCTGCAAGAATAAGACAGAAGGTGGATGTCAGTTAAATGATCGCCACATGCTTCTAGTTTGACCCCTCCACTAAAGCGCAGCTTTTGCCTCACCTCGATAGGGAGTACATCGATGTAGAGGCAGATAAACCAGCGAGACACCACCAGCGTCCATATGCCGGGGTACTGGGCCATGAGCTGTCCTACTGCAGGAGCTTTGACCTGAACCAGCTCACCAAGGACCTCCTGGTCAGTCTTCAGACCCAACATGGCCGGGGTGTAGTAGTCTGCAACACATTCAGATGAATTCCTCCTTTTCTTTTGCACAATTGAAAGACATTGTAGTGCATTTATTTATTATAGATAATATTTATTATTATGTAAACTTTGAATTACATTTATTTATTTAACAGCCCTCCTTAAGGAAAAGATCAGGCTAACTGATTATTATTTTATCCCCAGTACCTCAGAAAAACAGACTCACATGCTCACAGTTAATTTGCTGCTTAATAAACTGAACAGAAATAAATAATGATGGTCTGGAGCATTGTTTTATAAAAGATCTCAAATTTTTATAGACCGAGTGTCAGTTTAGGAAGGCGCTATGAGGACTTAAAAAAAAGAAAAAGAAGTAAAACGGAAGAGAAGCGCATCTTTGGTCTCGTTCTCTGCCGCCTTGACATTTTGCTGTACGTTTCCTTTGTTGTGGTTGCAAAATGTTAGCTGAGGCTGCCGCTGGCCCTCGACACGAACACTGAAAACCCTGCATCTCTAAAGTGGAACTGATTTAACCTATGGAGCAACAGTGCGGGGTAGGGGATGTTTGCTGTGGGGTAAACAAAAACAAAAAAAGAGCTCTGAAAGGAAGCCGACGTTAACTGTCACCTTACCTGGGAGTATCCTGCCCACCAGTGCATCCATAAGCCAGAAGGATTTCTCTTCGTCTTTCGTGATGATCATGAGGTAGCCTGCAATGAAGTTCATGCCCTAAAAACGACAGAGCATGCTGTGGATCGCTTAGAATAAGAACTCCTGCTGTGTGTGCATACAGTATGCCAGGTTTTACATTGAATAAGTGCACTGACCGATATAAGAGCTAACAGATGAAGGTTAAGACGAAAATCCTACACATATATTGGTTAAATAAGGAAGTAGCCAGCCCTGATCTTTAGGTAAACAGACATGATCTTAAATAGAGGGAGAGTCAGAGCTTGTCGCTGACTGCATTTTCTTCACCTGACAGTAGCCCACTGTAGGATTATGGTGTCCGTAGGCCAGCAGCACATTGAACAGAGCCTTCTGCATGCCTGGCTCTGCTTTGCTCTTGAACAGGATGTTGTCAGGAAATGTCCTGTGCATATCTTTTAAAAAGCAGAGAGAGTGAGTGAATTATTGGGACATAATTTAAGCATTGAAAGAGCATGCTGTATGCTGCGACAGTTTTGGTGCACCTGTGTGAATGGTTTCTTTCAGCTTGGTGTCATGCTCCATGTCCAGCAGAGACTGGTAATAACCCGGCTTACTCTCCAGCTGTTCCTGGGCACCACTAGCCGCCATCCAGATCCTGGCACGGTGCTCATTAGGCACACCTTTACGAACAAACCTCTTCACTGCCAAAACATGTTTTATTATTACCCATCACACGACCAGAGAGCTGGAACGAACAAGCAAACAAAACCCATGGAGGTGTCTTGGTTTTTTGTACCTGTGAAGTTCTTCTCCACATGAGGCTTCTCCTGAAGGAGCTTTGACCATCTCATGGACCTCCTGTTGAGGACATCTACATACTGATTCATCATCTCCTTGTAGGAGTCGAAATCGCCACGTCTCTCAAAACCGTAGGCGTCAATCCTGCTGGGACAAATTCACACAGTTCTCCACCAGTGAAGGTCTACACATAACACTCATAGACGCTGTGAAATCAGGATTGCCGGTGGACCTGCTTGCTCCCCTCCCTTCTTTCATTCTCCTATTCAGTGATGGCAGACTCTAAAATTGCCTCCACTGGGTAGGGTTTCTGTAGCTGAGTGATCAAATGCTCCAGCTGGATGAATAGTTAAGTGTTAAATTACTTCTTAGGGGAGCAAGGAGAAAAATGTAAAAACTCTGACAAGCTCCTGTCCCTTAAAAGCCAACAGGTGACAAACTTTAATGGTAGATTTACACGTTATAAGATGAAATGTGAAGTGGAAATACAAAAAGCTGAAGAGGAAGAAAGATGTTGTAAAAAAAAGAAAAGGTTGCCAGTGAGGAAGCTGCAGGCAGATATGCTGACTAAATAACACAGGCCGACAACAAAACAGACAAAAAAAGAAACAAGAAAAGAGAAAATGAACTTTTTAAAACTCAATGAAACAAACAAAGCTTACCTGTCACTGTCATCATAATCGGCCAGAGCCTGCATAGCATTTCCTTTCATTTCCCCATCCATTGTGTCTCATGTGCTAAAGGTAAAGTAGTCCAAGAAAGCAGAAAAAAAGAAAAGAAAAAGAAAAAAACAACTGGGAGCAGGAAGCTTATTCCATTTTTATTCCCTGGAAAAGAACCAGCTGCTGTCAAGGTAAATAACAAAGCGGTCTGAGTTTCCTATGGCTCACCTTACAGCAGCCACTGCTGAGAGGAGGAGCTAGTATGAAGAAACCCACAGGTAACAGCCACAGGCGTGTACTTCTGTTTGCACACAAAACAGTTGGAGGAAGAGACACTGTAGTGTTTGCTCTTATGTCCTCTGCTGGCTGTAATTCCAACATTTTATTAATTTCCTGCAGCAGGTAAAATGTTATTTCTTTAAAATGATTTGGAGCCAGTCCCAAATTTCCAGTGTTTCAAAGCTGATCTGTTTGGCAGACATATTATTAACACAGAGACGTTAGGTGGACTTAGCCTATATTTTATATTTGGAATACATCGTGTTCTGAAATGTGTAGCCCGAAGTAATGAATTATTAGACAGCATTACTGTGGATCAGTCTCACCTTACTTCAACATTATTTTTGACAAACACACAGACAGCTGGCATCTAAAAAGCCTGATATTTCCACCTGGAGCTGGTGGAAACAAAAGACTGTATATATAAGATGGACAGATGCAATACACTCATTCCTTTACATTCTGTTAATTTTAACTTGGCATATTTTTCGTGTTGTATGGCCGTGTCATGTGTTATAAAGTTTAATAAAGTTTAAACAAAAGACTAAAAAAGATGGGGATGGATGTAGCCTCCAGGTCTGAAAAATGACCTGAAATGCTGAAGTGCCTTAAACCTGCATTCTTCTTTTATGACCTCAGTAAGCCCACTGGTAGGTTCATGTTCTCATATGTTCTCATATGTTCTCACACTTTTAAGTCTCAGTTTTAACACAAACAGACTCGTTTGTACACTCTAGTCCCAAATAGACTCAAAACTGGTAAATAAAACAGTGAACACTTTAGGGCGTGGCTGCATTAGTTACTACAGTATGAGCGTGCAGTGTCACTCACCGCCTGTGATTTTAAAACACCAAGAATGCTCATCCTCAAGGCCCCTGAACAGGACTTTATAAATCAGTGGGTGATTTAATGGGGGGTTACAGCCATCTTTTATACACAGGTTTTGGTCTACACTCCACACTCTGTTTTTAGCTTAATTGTCTCACCCTTTGGTGGGTAGTACAGTGCATAGAGTGACGGAGAAAGGCTCAAAGTGGACTCAAACCCAGGTCACTAGCCCTCAGCACAACCAGTTGAGCTATAGTGGCACTCCACACGGAGTACTCTTAACAATATATGTGCCATACAATTAGTTTAACTGCAAACAGATTTAAAAAAATAACAGTCATGTGTCCTGTTTTGTGGAATCATATTATGAAAGTAATCTGGATTTATCTCCTCTGTAACAACATTGTTGTACCTTCCTATTTCACTTATTTTTAGTCAGAAACTTAGGAGTACTGCAGTTATTAACAGAGCTTTTACTTTCTAATTATTTACAAAGATGATCCCTGGAAATAAATAGATGAATCCTTAAGCCACATTAGCCCTAAAAGAAACTTTGCTGGAGTTGAATTACTTCTGGTGAAAGAGTATTTTAATGATACTTGAATACATTTGATTGACCTATGAGGGTAGCTTAAATAATTCAACCTACAAACATAAATGTGACTTGCCTCTAGAAGTCAGCGTTGTGCATGAGTTGCGTATGATCCCAAAGCAGATGATGCCACACAAGAGAACGCCACTTCAACTGCTTGTTAACAGAAATATCTAATCAGCCAATCACGTGGCAGGAACTCCGTGCATTTAGTTATGTAGACAAGGTCAAGGTGACCTGATGAAGCTTAATCAAAGCATCAGAATGGGGATGAACGGTGATTTAAGTGACTTTGAATGTGGCAGACAGGCTAGTCTGAAAAACTGCTGACCTACACAACCATGTCTTGAGTTTATAGAGAATTACCAGAAAAACAGAAAATATTAAATGAGAAGCAGTTTTCTGGTATTTCCAAACATTCCCCCCTCAGTGTCGACTTGCCTTCGCTGTAACTGTGCTTTTTTGTACTCTTTAGCAGTTGTTTTTTGTATCTGTGATATTAAGCGTCATATTTCTCATCAGCAGCAAAAGAGCCAAATACACACATCATTATGGAAAAACTCATGCTTTATTCATCTTTCGTAAATGAACAATATTAGGCTACTTACACGATGTATCAACAATATTTTCTATTTTTCACTACCTTCAGGAACACTGAACAGATGGGGTTAAACAGAAATACAAATATCAAACAGACAGATTTTTAATCTTAAGGCTTACTTTGTCGTCCTGTTGTCGCCCTCTTTAGTGTCCTGATTTCTGTATTAAGGGCTTTGCACTGCCTAAACACACAGATATGTGCCATGCAATCCTAAAGGTCAGTCGTTTCCGAATTTCAGAATTTCTCTCAAGTGCTGCTAAACAGTTGTTTAAGCATAAAAAAACGCATCAAAGTGATGAATTGATAAAAAACAAAATTGCTTCTGAAAGAAAGTCGACTATGTGACATTTAGGATTCAAGACCCACTCCCCACTGAGATTATTCAGACAACACAACCCAATATCCATGATCTAAATTAAAGTACTGCCTTTACTTTAGTGAAAATGTATTGGTGTAACCAGCCAGGGGTGACGTAAAATGTGTTTCAACATGCTTTTGATGAGAAGCTCACAATTCCATGACTTAACAGAGCCACCTAACAATTTAACCAACAGCATATCATCCACAATATTGAGGCATCCCGTTAGAGAACTTAGCATTTACTGTACATAAAACAATCATCTTTTGTATTTATAAATTGAACATATTTATATTATTCTTCATATAGCTCTCTTTGTAAACTGTCCCAATAGATACAGTATGTACAGTAAAAACTGCAACAGTTCTGTTGGTGCTGGTGTAGTGAGCACTCTGTCCCAAGGTTAGAATAAGACAATAAGACATGGGAACTTTGCACAGTCACTCAGAGCTTTGAGACACGGTTGACTAGGAAGAATCTTAAAACACACAGCTTCTCCAGTCCATTCAGAGTACACGCAGCCAGTGAACCTCCTCTCAGTGCTGTGTCTATGCCCACCTATGGGGGCTGTAGTGCTCCTCCTGGAGCAGAGCACAGGGGCATCCAGGATACTGAGAATCTGGCAATGTCCATATGACGCCTCAGACTCAAGAGGGCAGAAAACGTGGCCAGTCGTTCTCGTAGTTTATACTCAGCTCCCTGAAAGGTGGTTTCCTGACAGTTTCAAGTGCTTCGGTTTTCACTCTGAAGTCTACAATTTTCTTTTTTTTTTTCTCTTTTGTACAAGTCTTAAAAAAAACTATCAAGTCACTGTAAAAGAAACAATGTTCTGGTTTTCCAGAGTCGGGATTAGATTTAGAGAGTTTTGCGTTTTGATCCTGTTACAATTGGTCGAGCGAATTCCACAAAATCATCTATAAGGACTGGCCAAGCTCCTGGGTGAGAAACACAGAAATATCGTTAGTGTCACAGTGATGGACGAGAGCTAAATATGAAGCATGTATTATCGATTGTGCCGGCTCACCTTCCTCATCATAGTTTGACATGTCGTCTGCTATCATGTTGCCAAAGTCCAACAACAAGTTCCATGTGTCCTTTGGGATAGATCGTTTATGGTGTTCCTGAAACGAACGAGTCCTGGTAAATTCACAGGTACAGAAACAGCTTCACATGTTTTCATTTCCTTCCATCTTTAATAATAGATTTTTTTGTCACTGTAAATAACTGATGGACTGAATACTAGAGTTCTGTTTCAACCAAAACACCAGGGACAGGTTGCATCAACTGTACTTTGCAAAGCCTGGTCCAAACACCTAAGTCAGTATTTCTGAAAAGCAGTCTTGAGACTGGACTTTACGCTCAATAAAAGAAAAAAAGAAAAAAATCTGTAACATTCTCCTGATGTCCGCCTAATTTGTCGGTTCTGCTTTGGAGTAGATTTGGAGGATCAAAGTAAACAAAAATGCCATTACTGACACAGAAATAAGAAAATTAAGAGCTGTGCAGGCAGCGCAAGAACACACAGACGGCCCCCAAGTCCAACTTTATAACAAGCAATAAGAGAGCTAGGAAAGAAATAACGAGCACAATAAATCATACACTAACTCAGACAGCCTCTGTTAATGAAACGATGCAAAGAAAAGTGGAAAGACCAAACAAAGATGCTTCTTTGAAAAGAAATCCCTTCAAACCAGCACAGCTAGGCAGATTTTTATTAGCAGTATATAACTGTTTACGTTGCCAGAGTGGGTGTAGTTTTGTCGGACAGCTGCAGGCTTGTGGTCCAAAAAACCAAACAAAAAACTGCAAGTCATGGTACAGCTCTTCAGTATGTTCAAAAAGATAACTCCTACAAGTTGAAACCACTCAATCACCCCCCTCGCACCAGCCTGCTTATGTTATCTGAATAACTCTGACATCTAAATGTCTGTTTGCCTCAAACATTACTGGTACTTTAATGGAATGTGCTGTGTTGACTAAGCTGTCGGCAGAAATGGTCTGAATTTGGACTTTTACACCTGCTTCGGACTAAGATTCTTGAAAAGTGCAGGGTTGGTGGAAACATCATGGTGGAAACAATCTGGTTTTGCCCACTAGTTTTTGTGATCACGTAGGTATCTAACGGAATAATGGCCCAGGCCTCTAGAATGGGTTCCTCCTTAATTAGAGGATTAAAATGGCTTAAAGTTTGGCTAACTGATTAAAAAAAACAAAAACACACATTTTATTCTGGAGCAAATAAAATGCCACTTAAAAAGGTTTAAAAAGAATTACAATCTTGGTGACTCTTTGGGGAAAAGTGAACACCTTTTTAGGTGTAATGAGGACATCACCTGACCTTTTTCTCTTAAAAATACCAGTAGTAGTATCTCAGCTCTTAGAACACAGCTCCTTCCTCACATTTAAAATCTGTATACATACATCAGTGTAAAAACAAACAAAAATAAAAAATTATTTGCACTTTTTTTTTTTAAATAATGCCCCAAATATCCAAACACTGCGCCTGCCAATAAAAATCAACATTACGGATTTCTTAATAAGCAAAAATTCAGGGTCCATCGTGCCCAGTTTTACTCCTTTGACTCACCAAAAGGAATCTATTCCAAAGATCGAGGAATTTAAATCGTCCCGAAAGGACCAGGTTCCAGTAGGCTACGGCCATCTCCAAATCTACACAAATGAGACAACTTTGTTCAGATGTTTGTGAATCTATAATATTAGTCAAAAATCTATTGTTAGGTCACAATCCGTGAACTTACCGAGACCCTTCTGGCCAGGATTTTTGGCAAAGTTAAAGGTGAATTGATAGAAGTCCTTGAACTTTCCACTATCTTTTAGCTCTTGTTCTAATCTTGGCAAAAGTGCCTTCAGTTTTTCTGGACTGTCACACCTAGAAAAAAAGAAAAGAAAATATAAGCAGCACATACACAAATCACAACACATGGACAAACAAAACTGTTCTAACATTCAGTGCCCTGAAAGCCTATTTCAAAATACTCGGACACCTGAGCCTCAAAAGTCAAAACACTGCAACTGTTTCATTGAGTCGTTCCACGAAGACACAGTATACCCAGGCTGTGGGTGGATGTATAAATAGACAGCCTTCCCTCCCTGGAGCAACACTAAGAGAACCGCCATGCGTAGATACTTCAGTAAGAGTGTTTTTGTCCCACTTTAGAGCGTGTCACGTGCCGTTCATGTCAACACTCACCCCAGCTCGGTCATTCCATCCATAAACTCCTTCTTGGTGAACTCACACTGAGTGGCGGCACGAAACTTCCACGCAATAACCAGCACAGAGATGCTGGCTGGATCCAGTGAGAGGTCGTCACAAAACTGCTGGATCCCATCAATACCAATCTTATTCTCATCCTGGGGATCTATCAAGACAAAAACACAGTTTCACTCGAAATACTCAAGCAAGCAGTGTCTGTAACTCTTCTGGAATAAGGATCTTTACACTGTTCTTGTAAACAAAATTACAGCCTTAAACACTGTATTTTAAGATCCTACTTGCCTTTGTAGCGATTGTAGAGCTGTTCCAGCTTCTTACGGTCTACTGAGGTTTTCATGGATTCCTTACAGTAAAGCTCTGGATTCTGAAAATAGTTGTCTGTAGCAACTTCTAGTTTCCAGTCATTCTGTGTGAGACAGTACACGGCCGTTTTCTCCCCAGCCTGTGTGAAGGACATGAACTGCCGTACCTTGTCCCTCTGCGAAGACTTCAGCTTATGCTGTACAAGTACAGGACACGGGCTGTCAGGCACCGGTGCAATCAAACCAGTCAGTACAGACAGCACCACACAAATGCAGAGCGACACACAGACAAAAACACACAGAGAAACATAAAACTCCACAGGCATTCAGGCAACAGGAAGAAAGACTGGGACACGCTCAGGAATACTCCGGCACATATTTCAAAGGTTAGTCAGTCACGCCGACAAACGCGCTGCAAATTTTGAGCCAAGACGCGCTGGTAGTAATGACGTCCTTTCCAAAAACAAGGTGGGTTTTTCTGAAAGGGGTTGTTATGGATTCTCAAAGCACATGCTGTACCTTGGAGGGCCCCTCAGATAACTACAGTCATACTTGTAACATGAGTAGGGACATAGGATGCCATCACAAGGACCCAGAGGTGCAACAAGTCTGGAGTGAAACACAAGCCGCCCCCACCAGAAATACTCAACAAATACCCCTTACATAAAAATATAGAGTGCACTTTCATTACATAAATACTTATAAGGTGATTTTAATTCATTATGGACAGAGGAACAAAAGAAATTACTCAGTGTGCACTTCTCTTGGCTAAAATCAGTAATGTTCATTTAGAATAATCCACCACTGAATTATAGACAGCCATATAACAAGTTTTTATCATATCTTAGACCAAACCTTTCCAGAGATACTTGTGCTAGTGTGCAACTACCATCTCCTCTCCAGCAGAAATTAACCAGCAATCAATCATTAAAGCCATAAATATAAAAGAAAAAATTGCCAAAAGTTATTTTAGCAGCTCCAAAGTCTAATTTCTACTATGAAAATAAAATGAATAAGTTTGGGATTGTGGACCGTTTGAGGACAAGTCTACCTAATATTTGTGATGCTGTATTCTGATCCAAAGGGTTAGAAAAGCTTTTAAACAGTTCTGTCTATTTTTGCAAAAAATAAATAAATAAAAAAACACCATGCTATGCCATGTCCTCCAACTAGCTGCAGCGTCTGAACACCTCACTGAAGATCAGCATGTCCTCAACCTGAGTTCACCGAGCTGCTAATAACTCCATTACTGATGTAGTCAATAACGATGTATGAAGTCATGTGTCTGTCCCGGTTTGCTGCTCTGGCAGCACGGATTATTGTTCTGTTACAGGAGGGTAACGTTGGGTTAGCATTGTCTTCACAAACACCAGCTAGTAACTTGCACTGGCTAACGTTAGCTGAGTTAGCCTCTCTCTCTGACATTAACGATGGGGTTAATATCACGGGAACAGACTGTCATTGTGGTTACGCGTTAGCCGGGACTTAACTCAAACGGCCCTGTGTGTGTGTGTCTTTGAGGTCCAGCGGCTGACCTGCTCACAGCCGAAGTTACCAGACTGCCAAAAAGGGACGTGTAGCTAATGCTAGCTGCTCTTAAAATATCCAACTGACCTTCCCTGTAATAGCAACGAACACGAGTAAATGGCCACTGTACGCTTGCCAAAACGCGACACATCATGTACTTTAATACCACGACAATAGTCTTGTAAGCAAACCTTACTGGCATTAAATCCAATGCCTGGGTTTGTGTTTATTTTGGTTACCTACCATTTTTACACCCGCTGTTTGACCAGTTTGGTAGTCCGACTGTCGTTCATTATACGCATGCGCGGAAGTCGCCGGATTGCATAAAAAAGATGAGGTCTGCGGTAAAGGCTCCGTTTGATATTTGCATTATTTGCGCTTATTTGATTAGAAAATATGGGCTTGTGCAAGTATTTGTCGCGCAAAGAGAGTTAAAACGACACTTTCAAATACGATGTTATACCAAGTGTAATACACAAACAGGAAAACTCCCTCAAAACTGCATTCAGCACTGTTAAAAATAAAACTCAACCCCACCCTTCACCCGCTACACACACAGACACACTTGTTGACTGCCAACATCCTCACACACCATCCGCAACACAATACACACTGTAAAACACAGCATCAGTAATCCTCCTTCACATCACACCTGCCTTGCTCTGTTAGTGGCAGACATATGAACAGCTGACCGAAGAAATTTATTTAAACTGCATTAAAACAACGACTGTTGTAGACATCCAAGATTGTTAGGTGACCCAAAGCCTCAAAAAAAAAAAAAAAAAAAAAAAAAAAAGTCAGAGCAGCCTTTCTGAAATGCCATTGCAGGGTAAGCACAGGTGTAATAACATTCATCATGGCACTGCTCCGTTTAGAAGGGTCAGGGTTTATTGTGCTTGCCAGCTCACTAGAACGACTGATAGACTGAATATAACAGGGTTATAATTGAGTTTAACACTTACATGCTTATTGTGGTATGAGATGTCAAAGTGGTTATTGTGAAAAAGACCTATTTTGATAGCAACCATTAATGAATATGGCTATATTAGCAAGAAAAAATCTAAAGTATTGTTTGTAGTGCTTTGGAAATGTATTGGGTTATGCTTACAGTGTTTACTGAATAAGATAACTAGCTTTGGAATAGTAAAGTTTAAATATTTTTAATACAAGTCGCATCCCAGACCTATTGAATCAAGAAATCACGTAAATAAAACCTGTGTGACAAAGTAAAGGGTAAAAGACCTCAAACATCAAAACATCATGCAACCATTTAAAGAAACTCCAGAACAGATAAGAAACAAATTCAGTGACATCCATCAGTCTGGAAGGGGTTACAAGGTAATTTCTAGAGCTTTAGGACTCCAATGAACCATGGTGAAAGCCATTATGCATAAAAGAAGAAAACCTGGAACAGTGGCAAGCCTTCCCAGAAGTAGCCGGCCTACCAAATTTACTCCAAGACTGCATTAATGACTCATCTAGGAGGTTACAAAATAACCCAGGACAACCTCTAAAGAACTGCTGGCCTCACTTGTCTCAGTTAAGGTTTATGATTCAACAGCAAGATTTGCATAACTTCAACATTCAACATCAATCACCTCAAGGTGCTTTACATTGTAAAGACCCTACAATAATAAAGAGAAACCTCAAAAATCAAAGCAAGTGCACACTTTGAGCAAGTGCTTGGTGAGAGTGGGAAGGAAAAACACACAGTCTTGTAGGAATGAAGCCTAAAGAAGAACTAATTACTAAAGTTAATTCAGAAAAATTCCAAGGAGAAAACCACTGCTGACCTAAAAGATCACAAAGGCTAGTCTCACATTTGCCAAAAAAAAACCCCATCTTGATGATCCCTAAGACTTTTTGGAAAATATTCTGTGGACTGACAAGACAAAAGTTCCACTTATTGGAATGTTTGAGTCCCATTACATCTGACATAAAACTAATACAGGATTTCAAAAAAAATGATATCAGAGGATTGGTTTATGCATCAGGACAACGATCCACCCCCCAAACAAACAAAAAAGACAACATCCAAAAACGTTTTTGGAGTGACCTAGTCAAAGTCCGGGCTTAAAGCCGATTGAGATGCTTTGTGATGACCTTAAACATGCCATTAATGCTCTGAAACCCTCCAACGTCGCTGAATTAAAACAATTCTGCAAAGAACACCAAGGCCTTGGTGTTCCCCCGGAAAAGGTGGAAAAGGTAACTAGGGAAAGGGAGTTTTGCTTAGGCTGTTGCCCCCACAACCTGGTGCCAGATACACATAAGAAAATGAATGGATGGATGGATGGATGAATCTATGGATGGAGAAAGTTTACCTTGCCCAGCTTTTCAAGAGTTACAAATACACAACTCATATGATAATTCAAGCAAAGAAAGGCAAACGATTAAACCCTTATGAGCTAAGAAAAACATTTGTGACTACTTTATTTAAAAAAATTGTATGGTAACAGGGTTAAATGAGAGTAACAGGCCTGCACAAGATAACAGGGTTGAACGGATGTATTACTTTTATTTGTAGATTATGTCATACATCTGACAAATAAATACTCAGGACTACACAGAAATGTTGTTTATCTTTATATAATATCTTATATATTTTTTAACATGTTTGAAATGTTTGTTTTATATGTACAGTAACAGGATTGCAAATCAGTGCTGATATTAGAGTTTTCTCAGAAAAGGATGTAAGCTGATAGTTGACTGTGAAAGTCAAGAATAAATATAGAGATATAAACAAAGGAATTAAACTTTTAAATTAATTTCTATTTTGGTAATATAAATATCAAGGTTTGCATTGGTTGGAATGACACAATCTAGTCAGAAAAGACTGGAAAAATACAAAATATATCACAGAGAACTGACCTTTCATCTAACCACGGTGTTAACACGCAGCTCAATCGTGTCACTGATTTTTTGTCAAGTCACTCACTGTTTAGGCTGCACATAGGGTTGCAGTGCGTAATGACTCTTCTTTAATATATGTTGATGTTTGCATGTCGTAAGTTGATGATGAACAAAATCAAAATAAGAAAAAAAAGTGGATTTATAACTATTTTTAACTGTTATAAATTAGTTATTGAGAATTTGGCAAGAGAAAAAAAAATGCTATTTTGATAGTTCTCAAGAGCTATTTTGCATTTAAATGATATTTTGGAATTGAACCACCTTCACACTACAAATGTATGTTGTAGTCCTTTGTGAGTGGATTGTATTCAAATTCATATGTGTGTGTGTGTGTGTGTGTGTGTGTGTGTGTGTGTGGAGTGGGGGCAAAGATAATCTCCTGCATTTGTACGATGGCTCACTAACAGTGACAAAAGTGAGTGTTAAGACCTCTCCAGTGCACTTGCTATCACTATTATTTGCACCAAATCAGGTGAAATTGTTTCACAATGACTCATGGCTTCCTAACTGAACAGATTTGCATCCCTGGAGATTAACTAACTTTGTGTTAAACCTTCGATACTCTGACCCCTTACTTATTTCACGTCTTGTCATATTAACACATTTTTTATGGCGCACTCCTGTGCAGCAGACGGCGCTACATGTATCACGAGGGCTCTGGTATCCACCAATCCAAAGAGCTCCAGGTTGTGGGCATGAACTATTTTGACCGCTTTGCTTTCGTCTCATTCGTGCTGTCCAATCAAGCTCCACTAAAGCGAGGCACCGCCAAGATCAGATTGTGAGAGACGCTGCTGTAGCAAGGCTAACGGAAAGTCGATAGGAAAGGCTAGCGAACGATCTGTTAACCTGTAAGGTGCACCGGTAAGCAGCATCTACTCAACTGCAGCTTGTCACTCAGCTGACGCATATGATAGCACTGACGTTAAATATCTGTATGACCTTCTATTGTTTGTTAAGTATATAGGAAAAAAAATGTTACCGCCAATAAATACAAAGCTAACCGTCGAGGTAAACTTGTAGCTAATTCTGGGGTTGTCGATGACAGCTGGGGTTTAGCTTCTGTGCTAACCCACTAGCTAGTCAGTGGGCTAACAAAGCGCTGAAGCACCTACTTCTTGAAGTGCAATCGCGAGCTAGCTCAGTGTTAAAATAAACATTTTAATAATAAAGTAAAGTACCTTTTGCATTGCATTTAATATATCCTCTTTCAAGTCGCTAACTTACGGCATGTAGCTGACGGTAACGAAGTGAAGAGCAAAGCTAGTTTTTGCGGTTCATGATGATTGTAATCGACCTGATTACAGTAACGTACTTGTATTGGATCCATATGCAACAGTTCGTTTGGAAGCGAACCTTATAAAAACTAATATTTAAGTTTTAGACACCTCAAAATGGCCACCTTTCTGTGAATTTAGCGTCAGGAAAGTATTCGTAAGGCTCTTCGTGTTTTATTAAGAACAAATAGGAAAGGTTACTCGATTAAATGCGTGGAATAATAATAATAATGGTAATACTAATAAGTCGAGGGTTTAAATGTAACTTCCAGACAACAAAGTGTGTTATTCATTAGTTAGCTATGTGTGTTGATACTGGTTACTACACTGGCAAAAGGAGGTCAGCGGTTGACAATAAAACGCAATCAACTCACGGAGTATATACGGCTACCTGCAACTGGTATTTTAGAAGTTGTGGTTAACTGTGGCAAAAAATTTATCGTCTGGATAAAATCCACCTTGCTGGCATCGATGGCAAACTTTGTTTACTTTTTCAGTCTCTTTGACTTGGAAACGATCACTCTTTGTACAGCTAGCACACAGCAAGTTATGCAAATCCTGTCATGGCTTGTTGTATTAAAAAATAAGCTTAAAAGTGAAATACTCAATGTGAATACATTATTTCGTACTTCAAATGAACTATATAATTGTTAAAAAGTATCTCGACATTTCTTAGTTTGTTTCCTGTTTAGTGGGGATTTAGACCTCCTCTTCCTCCATTCTCAAATGCCAACAACAACAGCCGTCGAGGAGACAGAGTGCACTCGTAAGCGCATACAGTCACCACAGTGAAGCTCATTCATCGTGCGAAAGGCACGTTCACTATTTTAAGTGTTAACCCATGCTGAAGTGTAGCTGGGATCTGCAGCACGGAACCAATAATCGCAACATTTCTACATGAATCGTCTCAGAGCGTGCAGGAGCTAACTAGTAAGCTAAGACCAGCAAGCTGGGTCTACCGCTAGCTGTTAGCAGCTAGCTGCGTCCAACAAAAGATTGTTCGTGCTAATCGACATATAATATGACCGCTGTTACAGTATCATGCAGCCACAGTGCCTGGAGCCATATAGTGCCTTCTCTGTTGCGACATTATCAGTTTAGCGCTGTTGTGATAAAGTTCGCTTGTTTGCGTGACCTGTAGCAGAAGTTGGACGGTGCCTCTCCTCCGGACGTGCTCGGTACCTGAAGTAGGCCTTGTGCACACTTAGCGTAGTAAAAGTTGTGAGCATCAAGGGATGGCTTAATATGGTTTCCTGCATAAAAAGAACATTTAAAAGTACTGCTCGGTGGCTCGTTCACGTGAGATTGGTGTGAGAAGCGTACATGTCTGCGCATTTTGGATAATAAAACAAACAGTGACGCTAACATTGGTGATGTAGTTAGCTTTCTACAATGTGCTCTTAGCAAGCAGACCAGATGGGCCTTACTTCAGAAATAAGTTTAAATTTCCTCTCCAAAACAAAGTGAAACACAGCTTAGCTTGGGAAACCGTATTGGGAAATATGATGTTTGGGTCAAACTGCAATTTTGTCATTATTTAAGTAATAGTTTGTTCTCTTTCTGTTTGCAGGGGTCTGAATAGTGACTGGCAGAGGAAAAGTCTTTTTAACCTAAAGCATACCTCTTTTCGGTCCTTTGGGATCATGGCTAAAGATGTAAGTAAATATATACATGGTTTCATGAGAAACATCAGGCTATTTCTGCGGTGTCACTTAAGTACTGTAGCTAATTTGGGTCCTTCAGTTTACTGGCTGCACTTAGTCTTGTAGTGTTTTCTTTTCTTTTTCTCTTTAAATAGACTGTGGGATTTGTTTAGTGACTTCATAGTGGAGTGGTTTATACATTTGCCTTACAAAAGATCCCCTGTTAGGTCCTGGAAGGTGACATAGTTCCATTGAATCAGGAAGGGCATCCGGCGTTAAAACTGTGACAAATCAAACTTGTGCAACTCGCTGCGGTGACCATTCGTAAATAAGGCATCAGCCAAAAGTAGCTTCTACTGTATGGAGTTTGTTTAACTTGACTCATCTTCAATTCTTTGGTTTCTGTAGTATATTAAGTTGTTCTCTTTTACAGGCTGGTCTAATTGAAACCAATGGAGAGCTGAAGGTTTTCATCGATCAGAATCTGAGCCCTAGTAAAGGTATATTTTACAGAAATTGTGCATATGTGATATGCAGGGCTTTCTAAGCAGCATGTACAGTCTAGTTTAAGAGGCAGCAGAGCTGTTTGTTGGTAGGTGGACAATAGGGGGCAATGGTGTTTCATTCAAAAGCTTCCCTCATTAATGATCTTCTCATGTCTCCTATAAGGTGTCCTGTCCTTGGTTACTGTCCAGCCCACAGCTGCCCCTGTGGCCAAACAGCTACTACCCAAAACCCTTGGGCCATCCAATGTGAACGTCGCTACACACATGCAAAATGTGCCACACATGGTGAGTGAGGTCCTGTTAAGTCAGCATTATGTGGTTTCTTTTCTCTTAAGGCGTAGAAACCCTCAGCAAATTTAAAGAATGCTTTGGCTCTGCTAAATATTAGCTAGATGAATTTTTGTAGGGTTTTACTCTGCTTTATATGAATGTTGTATAAGCCCCCTCCATTATCATTGTGAGGTGACCGGGGAGAGGGTAGCTGGAGGCAGTTGATCCTAAGCTCATCAACTCTACAGTCAGCAGGATTACACCCATCATCCCATTATGTACAAGGAATGTATACATAACGGAAATCAGCTTAGATATCACCTTACTAAAGGAATAGATCACCCGTCTTCAAGATGCCTCACATTGCTGTTAGGGATGCAGTTTTTTAAAGCTGTGTCTTTAACTGTCATCAGCCCAATTCAGCATCAGGTTTTTATTAGTCATCATAAATGACTGAAATTCTAAAAATGTCTTATTCCTCCCTTAAAGCTGTATTCAATCGCCAATGATGATTTTCATGACAAACCAAATATTTTGCTTACAAAGTCAAATTCTGTCAAATGAAATAACTGTCATTTAACTTTACTGCTTCACCTGTCAGCTATCTAATGCAAGGCCAAATGTATTTAAATCATTCCTTATTGCACTGAGGGTAGTTATAGCTTTCTGCAAGGTATCCTCAAAATGACAGAAATCAGCAGAAGATGTGCGTCCTAAAGAGAGTGAACAGAGTCCCACCTTGAGTTTATGTTCAGTGTGAATTCGTTCTTGTAGTTAAACATAATATATTTAAGTGTGAGGCTTTAGAAGAAATATTACATGTCAAGATTTGAGTACATGAGGTTTTAGAGGAGAAACTCATTGTTGATGACAACAAAAGCATGACTATCAGTGTGTGTTCTTTCTCTTCTCTGTGGTCTTCCTGTAGGTGATTGGAACACCCCAGAGGCCTACCGTATCGAACACCATTTTGGTAAACAGTCCACACACACCCAGTTCCCAGTTCCTCACACAGAGTCAACCAGCCGATGCCTCTCCTTGGTCATCAGGGTAAGGCTTCAAATTGCCCTTAAGATTTTAAGCTTGGGACATTATTGGTGAGCTCTGTCCAGATTAAGCTAAGCATTTTAGAATGGGTCAAGTCTGATAGCTATTCATAGCAATAAAAAAAAAAAAAAAGTGAATGCCAGATTGCCACACATCAGTGTTTTTGTGTTCATAGTGACGTGGGCTCGTTTTTTTTTTTTTTTATGTTTGCAGAAAACGTGGGAAGAAAGGGGAAAAGAATGGGAAGGGCTTGAGGCATTTTTCCATGAAGGTGTGCGAGAAGGTGCAGAAGAAAGGAGTGACCACGTACAATGAAGTGGCAGATGAACTGGTGGCAGAATTCAGCTCATCAGACAACCACATGTCACCGAATGACTCAGTGAGCACTGCCGCTGTGTGATACTGTCTCAGAGTGATGCAGACTGATTACTCTTGATGAAGATATTTTAATTCTAAGATATATTTTTTAATGTTTTGAATTGCGTCTTTTTTTCTCTCTCATTTCAGCATGTGTATGACCAGAAGAACATTCGGCGACGCGTTTATGATGCACTTAACGTGCTTATGGCCATGAACATTATTTCTAAAGAGAAAAAAGAAATCAAGTGGATTGGTCTACCCACCAACTCAGCGCAAGAGTGCCAAAACCTAGAGGTAGAAACGCACAGCGAAGACAGTCACTCCTGCTTTTGTTACCAGTGTTAAAACGCTTTTATTTCAACTGTAGGTGGAGAGACAAAGGCGGCTGGAGAGGATTAAGCAGAAACAATCACAGCTTCAGGAGCTCATACTGCAGGTTGGATTTGAGTGCTGGTACTTGTGTGATCAAAGGGGGGGCTACAATTATAGTCTTTATAGTGGTAATTGTGCATCAGGGCTGCAGAAGACTCTTCATAAATACCCCAAGAACTGATTGGCCTCTTTAGATTGCTTTTGTCTGCGTTTTGTCTCTTTTTGTGATGCTGGATCATAATGAATCAGTAATAAACAGAAGTTCTTCTCATTTAATCTCTATATATGCAAGTAGCACATGCAAAATGGCAACTTCAAATTGTTACAATGTAAAAGAAAAAATTAGCATTTAAAAAAAAAAGCATAAATATATCCAAGAATGCTGTCGTGCTACACTCTTAGTTCTTTGCAGCTGTTTGAGTTTTAACTTGTCTTTGATCTTGTCTTACAGCAAATAGCTTTTAAGAACCTGGTTCAGAGGAATAGGCAGACAGAGCAGCAGGCAAACCGACCTCCACCTCCCAACTCCATCATCCACCTTCCTTTCATTATTGTCAACACCAGCAAGAAAACTGTCATTGACTGCAGCATCTCCAATGACAAGTGTGTGATCATCAGCTCTGTTATTTAAAATGCTGGCACTTGGAATAATTTGTAACTGGGGGGGGAAAAGAAATTATCCAAAAAGTGGGGGAGGTGTTCACATTTTCATCAAGGCGCTGGTAGTGCTTCACCAGGCTGTATTTATTAGGGCTTTAATAAATAGTTGCGGAACAACATGTACTTGACAACAGCCCGTCAGCCACATAAGCTGCTTTATTTTTTCTAGCCATGTGACATGATTGTATGTAATACCTTGGAGCTGCATAGGTGGGAAACTCAACTATAATTGCAGGTTAATTGTGTTCTGGTTCTTGGCAAATAAGCTAAAAGAGGCTTGGAAGCCTTCTGTCAGTGCAAAGCATTATAGTGTGGTATCAAGATGTGCATTATAACAATAACTAGAATCTCCTCATTTTTAACTCAACATTTCAGTGTGTATAGGATTAGTGGCTGACTTGAAGAAGTAAATATGAGGCCTTCCCACATGCAACTAAACCAGGGGTGTCCAACTCCAGGTCTCAAGGGCCGATGTCCTGCAGGTTTTAGATATCACCCTGGATCAGGACACCTAAATCAACTGATTAGTTCATTACCAGCCTCTGGAGAACTTCAAGACATGCTGAGGAGGTAATTTCGTCATTTAAATCAGCTGTGTTGGATCAAGGACTCATCTAAAACCTGCAGGGCACCGACCCTTGAGGCCTGGAGTTCGACACCCCTGATCTAAGCTAATCCCCGCTTTGTAGATGAACTTTATTTTGAAAGGAATACTAGTAGCTGTCCTCAACGGGCTAACTAAAATACTGAAGAACCTTTGGCTAATTTCTTTTTAGCCAAAGGTGTTGAAAATGGGACCCATGTTCTATTCTATTCAGTATGCTGTCCTTGATTTGGTACCCATGATCTTCTTTAAAATTAGAACGAACACTTGTTTGGATAATTGACCCTTTCCCATTTTTCCACTCTTCAGGTTCGAGTATTTGTTTAACTTCGACAGCATGTTTGAGATCCACGATGACATCGAGGTGCTAAAACGTATGGGCATGGCCTGCGGCTTGGAGGTGGGAAAGTGTTCTCCAGAGGATCTGAAAATCGCACGTAGCCTGGTGCCCAAAGCTCTAGAGCCTTATGTTATAGGTAAGTGACCAATATCCCTATGAGTTCGGCCCCCCTACCCCCCCTGGAAATTACGCCCCTGGTTCTTGGTGCAGTTGTGAACACAGTAATCACACTTGGATGGGGACCAAACAATTGGACCGAGACCCTTTGGAGCAGCGGTCTCCAACCCCTGGGCCACGGACCGCTACCGGTCCGTGAGTCATTTGGTACCGGGCCGCAAGAGTTGAGGCTCAGGTGGGAAATTTATGGTTTTCAGAGTTTTTATTAGTTTCTATCGTTTTTTTTTTTTTTTAAATCATTTTTATCGTTAACTCTGTTTCCCTGGGTCTTTTCCCCTGTGGTGCAAAAAAGGTTGGGGATCGCAGCTTTGGAGGGCAGGGTCTTGGGACACTTTATAAAGAAAATAAATAAAAAAAACAAAAAAAACCCCTCCAGTGCGGCTTATGGTATGATGATCTGACCTAACTACCAGGTCTGCATTTTCTGAAAATGAGTGAAAAACAGCTACACGTTTACAAACTCGTCAACTCGGTCTAGAGTGAGAGGTGAGAAAAACAAGCTTAGACAGAAACTGCTTCAAAGGGTTCAACGTCAAAGGGTTAGTCTTCATCTGCAGTTAAAGTAGGCAAGAATCTGATTGTGCTTTCTGAATCCCTTTGTTCTATATCTCTTATCCCCACTCAGGTCTGTAAATAGTCGAAGGTCTTCATTCTAATTCATTTTCTCTTTATCCAGAAATGGCCAAAGGTCCCATCAGTAACGTCTACATCACTGGAGGTTCCTCTGCTAATGGAGCCCGTTACCCTGCAAACAGGTAAGAGTTGCTAAATGTGATGTAGCTCTAATGTGCACACTGCTTTTTCTAACATTTCCCCATCCTCTTATGCAGTGATGGCTGCACTGATGGCACCATGGCGTCCAGTTCAAACGATTCTCACTACAGCGGGTCTCGTGTGGAGACTCCAGTGTCTTACATGGGGGATGACGACGATGAGGATGAGTACGATGAGAATGACGATGAAGACTAACCTCCCTACACCTCGCCACTCCAACAAGCACAGTCTTCAAAACCACCCTCACCGTGGGAATTTAGTCCACTGTCGTGTGTGCTTTTTTTTTTTTTTTTCCTCCCCCCCCCCCCCCCCCCCAAAAAAAAAAAAACCCCACCTCATGGCACCCAGCCTGTTATCATTCCCATGTCTGGCTTTCTCAGGGGTGTCGATGAAAATTAAAAGAACAGAGGTGTTTGCACCCACCTTTTTCTGCTCCTGAGTCACCTGCACCACAGCTCAGTGGGAGGTGTCGTCCAAGGGAACTGTAGTCTTTGTCCCTGCCACCTGAAGTCTTTATGTCTAATCCACTTCTTAATAAGCCATCCCACTAAAAAGCAACTCTAAGGCCTACTGCTGTTGGAGAATGTATAATGTACCCGTTTGACTTATAATTTTTTTTTCTGCAGTTGCATATGGCAGACATGATCAAAATGTTCCAAGGTGGCCAAAGTGTCTGCTGTGAGATGTGTTGTTAGTGCAACACCATGGATTCGGAATGGCTTAACACAGATGCCACTGCATCACAGGATGGGGCTCCATCACATCTCGTCATGCTTTGTTTGTTTTGTTTTTGTGTTCTGAGCAATTTGAAATGGTTTCCCGATTGTTTTTGGGCTGGCTTCCTTCTGTTCCGTAGGCAGCTGCTTTCCTGATCTTCTTTGCTAGTTTTATTTGTATTCCAGAGTTGAGGAATTCTCCATCACCGCCCTGTTAATGCCTTGGTAGTGTTTACAAAATAATGGCAGCAGCGAGGTAAAGACTTTCATAACCCAGGCTCCTAGGTAAATAAGCTTTCTTTGTTAATTACATATATGAATCCTACAACAATTGTAGCTTATAGTTTCCTTTAGAGGCCAGTGGTAAAGATAGACCTACAAAAATTATTGATGTAACAATGTGTGGTTGTATAGGTCTTTATGTACACCTTTCAAAGATCTCCCTTTTAAAACTGAGCAACACGTGTACTGACTCTTCCAAATACCTTTTTCTGTAATCTAATATAAGTTTGCAAATTAAATATAGATTGTTTTAATAAGTTTGTATCCACAATTCATGATTTTTCTGGGGTTGGGGTAAGGTCGACTGTCTGTTGGGTTGGAAACAAAGTTTGCTTAAATAGTAATATGAGAGGTGAGCAGAAGGCGCTAGAAACGTCTAGCTGGTCTCAACCCTGTCTATTAAAAGAACTGGGGAAGGAAACTAGCTCGGTTTTTAAAGAAGTTGACTGTCAAAAGAAAACCACAAGGGATACACTGCTTGGATGCCTAACACTTGGGAAAAGGATGCCGACAATGATTATGCTGCTGCAGTGTGATTGGTTCTTACATTATGCTAGTTTGCTTTCTGTCAGCAGTTTTTAATTAGATTTGGCCAAAAACTGTGGATACACTGCAGATACTGGAATATTGGGGGGGGAAGCATTTATTTTAGCATCTGTTAATTCACTGATAAACCGGATCCTGTGACTTGTTTAGAGCTGTTGAGTTCTTTTAATTCAGAAATCCTGGAAGACTAACAGTTTATCTAATTTTGGCTCTGGAATCCACCATAAAAAATACAAAATAACACACAGATGTGGTTGGAGGGTGTTTGCTTAAATTTAATTAAACTGTAAAATTACACCAATTTTATACATGGGCCCCAATGAAATTAGACAACTTCCAATAAAATAAAGAAAAATTACAAATGACTGAAATCTATAAAACTATGGATATTACAAAGAATGAGTTTTGCCATTTTTGATGTCTTGCCCAACCTCCTTCGATTGTTTGTTCGTGGGTTTTTCTACCTAATTTGGTTGGTTTGGCATTGTCATTGCATAACTTTCCACTTTACCTTTGTCCAAACACATTCGGGTTGCTCTTGCATTAACGTTTAATTCACTGTTTTAAGCTTTGCTGCGTTTGGCTGAAGACAGTAAAGCTCTGTACGATTCAGAATTCATCTTGCTGCTTCTGTGTTTTGTCACATCATCAATAAACAGTCGTGAAACCAGTTCCAGTGGAAGCATGCATGTCCATACGTTACACTGCCTCCGTTGTGTTTGGATTATGTAGTATGCTTCGATTCATATTCTGTCCCACGCCTTGTCCATCCTGTTTTGTTTTGTTTCTCCCTCCCATCATTCTGTTACAGGCTGCTGTTGTAACTGTCCAACAGTGCTGTTCCTCAGTATGATTTGGGTCAGTTGTCCATCCACAGTTCACAAGAATCACTACTTCTCCTACAGTGCTAGTTAGTTTTTACTTGTGCACAGCTGTCACCCAGTGGGTCTTTAACCTGTTCTCATGATCATATTCATAATGGATTGTGAGCCAGATTAGGCGCTACTTTGATGTTCTTGTTGTAGATGGTTTTGGTCAAGTCTGTATGTTCTTTCATGGGCTCTTTATGGTAGACAGGGACCATTCCTTTGACAGGATAGGTGGTGTTTGTCTTTACCATGGAAAGGATCCTGTGATCATCCCCCTCTATTTTTATTCTGTTTACTAAGCATTTTCACTAGTGCGTTTTGTGTTGTTGTTGTTGTTTTTTTTTGCTGTCAAAGAGTGGCCTGTTTAATTTGCATTGAGGGCTCATTTGAACATATAGAATTTGAAAGCTGCCGTTTCCAGCAGCAGCTTCCAGAAGTGCTATACTTGAACGTGTTGCCTTTACCTGCTTGATTTATGACAAAATGACAGGATTAGACGGGTACATTCTGGGTAGGATCTCATAAATTGCCGACAACAAGAAAAAGCAAATTCCTTCCGTCCATAATGGAACCTGGGGGACTGAACACACTGTTCTTGCAACCTGAACTAGATATATCGCCATTCAAAGTTAAATAAGACACTTCTGAGGATCATCCTTATGTAGGGCCTGCTTTAAACAGTGTTTCTTTGCTGACTCGTGGCTAATGGAGTGATCTCAAAGACTTCTCTTGGCCTTACATTTAGTATTTAGCCATATTTTCCATTTTAAATGCAATATTTTGAAACTTTTAATATTTTTCCCTATGCTGCCAAACCCTATTGGCTGTTAAAAACATCCCAGTGTATTTCAGCATTTGGTAGGCCTTTTGGGTTATCTCAAATATTATTCCTCATTCAAACTGAAGCTTTAATGTGAAGCAGAGTGCTGCTTATAGGCTGTATGAACTGCTAACTGGTTTGCCAGTTGACTGGTGATATCCTGCATATATGCTGCTTGTGTTGTTCTGTTCCAGCATGTGCTCGCACACTTTGTCTGGGGCATTGGGGTGTTAATGGATTACTGAAAGGTGTTGACTCAGGTGTGTGTGTGTGTGTGTGTGTGTGTGAGGGTGGTACAGTGCTCAAAGTGTGCTGGGATCTAGTTCAGTCACCAGTCTCGAGTTCCCGTTTGTCTCTCATGCTCCCTCTGCCACTCCGCTGTGATCTGTCTCCTGTTCTCTCAGTTTTGCTTCAGCCTGTCCTCTTTTTCTTCCTCACCCCTGCGCGTTAGTTGGCAGCATTTACCGTTCACCGCCTTTCTCTCTTTGCGATGTCTTCTTTTTGCATTGCTTAACAGTCGCTTACCCTCAACATGGATATCGGAGGACTCACAACCGTGGTAGCAAATTCTGCTTACATCAATGCTCGTGGAAGCATCGATGGCTCTAATCCAGCAGCAGCTCGGGATAAAAAGTACCACTCTCGCCTCAAATTGCCCCACATCACTGTGTGCGAGGGTCTGAAGGACACCCTAGATTTATCCTTTGACTCAGGCTGTGTTGAACAGCCAATTGGCAAACGTCTCTTTAGGGAATTCTTGGACGCAAACAAAGAGTATCACGGGGCATGTCGCTTGTGGAAAGACATCGAGGACTATGACCTGGCAGAGGACTCTGAAAGGGCAAAAAAAGCTTCGAAGTTAGTTCAGCGTTACATGGACCCCTCTGCCAAACACTTCTGCCCGTTCCTCAGTGAGGACATCATAACGAAGGTGAAAGAATCCCTCGAGGCTGTAGGTGATGATTTGTTCTCTGCAGCGCTGGCCAAGACTTTGGACTATCTGCGCGAGGCCCCCTACACTTTCTTCCTGGAGAGCATGTACCTGAAGAGGTTCCTGCAGTGGAAATGGCTGGAGATGCAGCCCATGGATGAAGACTGGTTCCTCGATTTCCGTGTGCTAGGGAAAGGTGGGTTTGGAGAGGTGTCTGCCTGTCAGATGAAAGCCACGGGAAAACTGTACGCCTGTAAGAAACTCAACAAGAAGAGGCTGAAGAAGAGGAAAGGCTACGAGGTGAGAGAATTAATGTCATTTGCTCGATGCTCATTTACTGAACATGCCTTTGGCTTTTTGCCTCCCCCAGTGGTGGAAGAAAACCATTTTAAATGGGGGCAAAATCACAGCATCGAAATACTTTGTGAGAAAACATTTATCAACAACGTAGAAGATCTCATCAGGCAGAGTATTTCCTCTAACAGGATTATAATTATTCATACATTTATATAATAACATGGCTTTCATAATGCAGCTCCTATCTGGGGATATTTGAACTACTTCACCCCGAGTAACTGCCACGACTAACACAACACACTGACATAATCATGCATAATTCATCTGTTCATTCTTTTTTGTATTATCTGAAGTAAAAGTTACTGCAAACTACTAGTAAACAAGGTAAAACGAACAAAACATACTTCAGATCCTAATGAGCTTTTGCAGATTTATATCTGTTTCAGCTGGATGGTAATAAATATATTTAAAAATGAAAATGGCTTTCTCTCCATGTAATGAGATGTGGAAATTGGAAGCTCTAAGGGAGAAATTTTATAACAACCTAAAAGTAGAATTAGTTTTCACCGTATCAGTTATTTATTTTATCACTGTGTAATGAGTGGCATCCTTTGGATTTATACTTTAGAGTAAGTGCCTTCCACTGAGCAGGGCTGCAATGGTGCTAATCATCTTTGTCCCTGCCTCTGTCTCATTTGGCTTTAGCCTGCAGTATTAAACACTGAGACAGGGATAGAGTGATTACTGGGAGCTTTATGGAAAAGCTCTTCTGAAAGGAACTCCTTGGCGCTGTTGCATTTTGCCCTTGACTTGTCCGAGGTCATTCTCTGAAGTGTATACCTGAACCTCTCCTCCAAATGGCACACACAATGAGACAAACATTACAGTTTGGTTCAACCTGAGCAACGAAACATCCATTTAGTTTAACATTGTTATTCTTAATTTAAAAGATGGCATGTGAGCATTTTTCAAAGTTGTCTTTCCTATTTGTTTCCTGTAGGGGGCGTTGGTGGAGAAATGTATTCTCGAGAAGGTTCACAGTCGCTTCATTGTGTCGCTGGCATACGCCTTTCAGACAAAGGAGGAGCTTTGTCTGGTCATGACCATCATGAATGGAGGAGATCTCAAGTAACTTTGTTTTGAAGCATGAACATCTGGCTGTAGCACACACCCCTTAACCCTTATTAGCATGTTGTTGCTTTAGTTGCAGCCTAAACTTCTATAATCTTTAAGTATCTCCTTTGCCAGCGAAGCAAAGGTTATTACAGAGATGTTGAAGTCCGCTGTAATGTGCTGGAAATGACATTCACCCAGATGTGTCAGTGTTCATCTGCAGACTTAGTGCAACAAGTGCAGAGTCAGATTATGCACAATTTCAGCTAAAATATAAAGTATTTGCCTTTTTAGCTCAGATTACTTAGAAAGCAAGACAATAGATTTTTTTTCTTATTTAAAGCAAACATCCTTTAATCCTAGAAAATCAAATTTTAATGCTTACAGTCTGCACACGTAGAACCAGCAGCGTATGGGCATGCTTAAGATGTAAAATACTGCAAATGTGTGCATATTGAAGGCCTTTAATAATTAGCCTTGGCTTATCTGTTCCCTGTAGGTACCATGTTTACCTGGTGGATGAAAACAACCCAGGGTTTGATGAGCCTCGAGCCTGTTTTTACATTGCCCAGATCATCCAGGGCTTGGAGCACCTCCACCAGAAAAGAATCATCTACCGAGATCTCAAACCAGAAAATGTGCTGCTTGATAATGACGGTAATACATTATAATCACATTTTTGGAGAATAATATGATTATGAGCTAATAATATATGTTTTTTTTAATCACAACAGGGAATGTACGTATATCTGACTTGGGTCTTGCTGTGCAACTAAAAGAAGGCAAAACCATGACAAAAGGCTATGCTGGGACTCCAGGTGGGTCTCATCTGCACCCACTGAGAAATCTGTATGCAGGTTCACGTTTAAGGGTAATCTTGCAGGTTTAATTTTTAATTGTAGCTCATCTTGTCGTTGTTTTTATTTTTATTTTTTGCAGGTTACATGGCACCAGAGATGCTAAAGGGAGAAAAGTACGACTCCTCCGTTGACTACTTCACTCTTGGAGTGACTTTATATGAGTTCATGGCTGCTAAGAATCCGTTCAGAAACAGAGGAGAGAAGGTGAGAGTCTAAACTGCAGGTGGTACTTTCTGTGCAAAGAAAGCAGACAGAGGAAAGAAGAGGTTTAGAAGCTGTTGATCTTCTTCTCAGGTGGAACGTGAGGAGATGAAAGAGCGTATGCTAACTCGGGTGGTGACCTACACTGACAGCTTCAGTGAGCATGCAAAGTCGTTGTGTGATGGGCTGCTGGCCAAGGAGGTGGATCAGAGGATGGGTTTTAAGAATGGATGCTGTGACGAAATCAGAGCACATCCATTTTTCAGCGGCATTAACTGGAGGAAACTGAACGCAGGTAACCTTTTGATATTTGCTCAAGATCTTTTTGATTTAGGAAAAAGTTTGAAGCCACTAACCATTTAATGTGGTGCTTAATTCAAATTTGTCACTTTATTTCAGGAATTCTACCTCCTCCTTTTGTCCCTGACCCCAAAGTGGTGTATGCTAAAAGTCTGGATGACGTCGGGGCATTCTCCTCTGTGAAGGGGGTGGCATTGGAAGATCCTGATAAGAACTTTTTTGACGAGTTCTCCACGGGCAACATCTCCATTCCTTGGCAAGAGGAGATGATCGAGATGGGAATTTACGGAGAGCTCAACGTTTGGGGCCCTGAAGGCACCATCCCCAACGATCTCCGCAGGGAGTCCATACTAGAGCAGCCAAAGTCATCGACGTGTTGCTTATCTTAGAGTCACTAACACGCCTGAACTGCACAGACTTGCGTTTCTTTAGAGCATGCGGCATGAAGACTCCATGAGAGACACCAGTCGGTTCTGAACTTTGTGATCGCACACTGAAAAAGTTTGCAGTTTCATTATGTCGACATGGGAAGAGCGAGAATAGACTGGAGGCGGACTTCCAGCCTGAAATGAACTTGATCATAGATTTAGGTGTTGAAAAATTCCAAATTGCTGACATCTGTCATCTATTGTCCCTTCAGTCTTCTGCCCCTCATCTCCTTTCACCATCAACCTGCTCACTTACTTCTCTTTATATGTATATGTGATGAATTATTGTAAAGCTTTTAGATTTAAAATGCATTAAAAAAAAAAAATCCCATTTTGGAGCCAGGGTTTAGTGATGTGTTATCTTTGGTGCTAAGTGACAGTCACATGTTGACCATGTAAGAGCTGCATATCTGCTCCTGTAGGGTTCATGCCACTTAATAGAAGGTCTTTTTTTTTTTCTTAGTGTTTAATACATACTAAATGCTAACACATCAGAGATGCAAAGTCTCGTGCCTGTGGAACTCTTTTTCTTAAGGGGTTTATTTCATGGGTTTTGATGACTTTCGATGGTTTTATGACTATTACAGCGCAGAGTCACTTTGATAAGTTTATGTAATCTAGATAGTGTGAGACAAATATGAGTATAGGATGAATGTTTACGGTAAAATTATTTATTTTCAAGAACTGTCGGACTGAAGTTGAAATATCAAATATTTGGGACAAAACACCCCAAATCTGGCAAATAAAATAGCTTATTGAAACTTGAGTCAGGAACTTCATTTCTGCTTAATGATGGTTATAGCACTGTCCAGGAATGTAAGCACAGATCAGAACCAGGCGTGGAATATCTTTCATAACCTTTGACATCACTGGAAGCTCCCACTCCTAAAGCCTCTTTGTCACTCCTTTGCCATGGCTTTATAAATCCTGATCTCCTGCTGCGGCAGCTCGGTCAGCAACGTGGTGTTAAAATGGCTCTTAAAGCACTCTGTGAACCTCAGGTCTGACTGGAACCGGATCTTGTTGGCCCACAGCAGCGTTGTTTGACTTCCTGGTGGGCAAAAGTGATGCATAGTTTTCAACAGTTCTTCAAGGCAGTCGTGGTGATAGACCACATCAGCTGCGAGCACGAAGTCGTAGTGGTATGATGCATAGGGGAAGTCTCGATCCAGGTCCTGACCCCAGGAGAGAGCAACCACTTGAGGGGTGTAGCGGCAGCGGCCCCTGGTGTTTCGCAGCAGGTTGAAGGTCAGGTTAGATAATATGTCTGGCAGATCTGTTGCCGTCACCCAAGCACCTGGCAAAAAGTGGGTTGAAACGCAAAACAACAGAGACATTAAAACATAATGATTATTTTTTTAATTTTGTAATTATTGTGCATTTTGTTATGGAAGCTTGTTTCCCCCTCTAAAAAAAGAAAACTATTCCTAACTGGCAGAGTCAAAACTTCAAGTTATTTTCTCAATTTGGTAAATATATATTTTTAAATAAAAGCAACAATTTTTAACTTGTGGATAACAAAAAACTAAACTAAATATAAACTTACAGCCTGCTTTGAGTTTCTCACTAATTATAGTTTCTGCTGAACCAGTAGCAAAATGATTTACTCTAATTGTAAGGAATTTTGGTGATCAAACTGAAGTTGCATTGTTTTTGTTTTATTTATTTATTTTTTCCAAGTTCTTTTTACTTTAAATTCAATCATTTTATTTTATTGGGAATAAATGAAACCTTTGTTTCCACTCTGGGCTTAATGGAGGGGCTTATGGATAACAGCATCAATCCAGTGATTGCTGTATCCATAATATATCTAAGTTACAACCCCTCTGTTGTATGCAGTACAGGAGAACTATGTGGGAGGATGGTCGTTGTGCTTTAACAATGAATTCCAGTGTTTTTAGTTGCGTCACGACTTTTCCCGCGAGTTCCATCACCAAGCTGAAATGTAACTTTTGCATAAAAGCAGAAATATGAAATATTCAGTGCACACATTATGCGCGAGTGGGAATTAACCCTTTATGGATTTTTCTTTGTCTTAAAGCCAAGAATATCACCACTTAACTAAGTCCTAAGCAGAGATGGGCAGTAACGCGTAACTTGTAAATAATTACTTTTGAAAATAAGTAATCAGTAAAGTAATGGGATTACTTTTTGGGGGAAGTAATCAGTAATTAGTTACTGATTACTTTTTTTAAGTAACTTGACCAACACTGGTCCTAAGTAACAAATATAAACGAGTGTATTGCCAGTTTATTAGGATGCATCATTTATTCTTAAATGAATGTGTTCCCAACATCAAATCTAAAAGATTAAAGGTAAAGTTTCATACATGCAGCACATGCACAACTGCATTATCAAAATGCACTTACCAAGCAGACTTGCTACAATAGAAGCTAAGCCAGTCCCAGCTCCAATCTCAAGTACTGCTTTGTCCATCAGGTTCACTTGTTGCTGGTTGTTCTCCAAGAACTGGCACAAAGCTATTGCCTACAAAAATAAAATTCTTGTCACATTTACAACACATTTTCAAAATGAGCCAATGCCATGCCCACGGCAGCCCCTTACCCCAGGCCAGATCAGAGCACCGTACGTATCCATGGACTCTCGGATGCTGATGTCATGACCGGCAAAATGAAAAGACTCGTTTCCCCGAGCGTAATAAACACTCGGCTCCCAGAGGTTCCTCCTGCTCAGAGCCTCTTTTGCCATCACCCTCTGGTCTGTCAGTACTGCATGAGCAGAGCGTGACATGAAGAGACAGGTTATACTAACAAATTAGCAAAGTTCAGTTAAAAAAAACGAATTATACTTGCCTGACATGCAAAAACTAGACTTGTACATAAGAGATACAGTTTGAATATACCTTTAATAGCGGTTCCCTCCTCCTCCACCTCCTTATCATCTTCCCTTTTCTTTCCAGGAGGCTTTTGTCTTACTGGCTGGCTGAGTGCAGATGATCTCTCCATAAGCATCTTAAATTAAAGTTCCCATCATGGGTCAAAGGTAAGAAAAAAAATAAAAATAAAATTATTATTATTATTATTTATTTTTTAAAAAAAAAGGCCCCTTTATGTAACGATTGTTCATTTGAATCTCAGTAAAAGTTGGAATGGATTCAGAGTGGACTGGATTTAGTCCGCTAGTCTCTTTGGCTGCCACTGGACTGCGAACTGGAGCCCAGAAACACAGCTGGTTAAATCCTGAGGTCAACAAGCCACAGTCATGGATACAGAGCACACGGTGTTTACCTCAGATGAAAAGCACACTCAGATAAATTCCAGTGCAAAGACTAAAGTTACATTTATACAATTTTATAAAATAATTAGCGTCATTTTAAGAATTTTCAAACGAAATATATTCATAATAAAATAGAAATAGTTTGCAAGAAGATGTGAAACCTACCAGTAGGAAGTATGCCCCGTGTGTTTTCTTGTTGTGTGTCTGCACTTGCCTCTGTGTGCTCTGAGTTTATACACAGAGCATCGTCTGTGACACACCCCTGAGTGAAGCTGGGGTCTGCTAACATAGTTTCCCCCTCCCAGTAGACTTTATTATATACGCTTTTATAGAATTGCATCCTGTTATCCTGTTTCAGCACTAAGATTTACTGCAGTGAGCTACTTGTTTATTCTCTCCTGTCATCATTAATGCATCACACATCTGTCTTTAGGTAGGTTACAGGTAAAGCTACGGGGACATGTAAATATTTGAAAACAAAATGTTTTCACAGTGAGCCCAATCATGACAGGGCTCTCAGCCAAACTGTATGAGGCTTTGCAGAGTGGGTGCAACCTGGCATGTCCAAAGATTAGGTTAATTTCTAATGTGATCAAAGTATAGATCCAGTCTCAGTGTCCAGTCTTAACATTACTTATATGGTTAGCAGTAGTGAGTGAGTTCGTGAGCTCAAAATAGTCGAGCACTTAGTGACAAACGCTACATGTCAGTTTGTGAAATTTCTTCCTAACACTCCTCTGGCATTAACGTCACCACAAACTTGGTGAGCTGGAAACTTCAGGTGCATTCAAGCCTTAAATCACCACCAATGTATAGCATGCAGCCTGTGGACTCTGGAGCAGTGGAAACATGCTCTGTGGACTGTCAGATCCTCTGTCTAGAAGTTCAGTGGATCAGTCTTGGTTTAATGAATCCCAGATGAACTAAACTGTGGTTTTGTGGAGGAGGGATAAGGCTTTGGGGCTGTTTTTCTAAGATTTCCTTCCTGAAGTATTGTTTTGTAATTACCATTTACCCATTAATCACTAATCTTACAGGACTATCCAGAATATATATACTGTATATTGCAAAATAAAGAACCAAAAGTTGTCAGTGGGGGGGATGATGTTAATGTTTCAGCTTATCAGAGCATTTCGGACAATTCTCAGTTTGGGAAATCCCCTTCAAAAAGCAAGGCATGGTTGGAGGAGCCTGGTGTGAAAGAACTTGACTGGCCCACGAAGAGCTCTGACCTCAGTCCCATCAAACACTTTCGGGATGAACAGAGAGAGCCAGGTCCTCTCGTCCAGCACAGGTATCTGACCTCACCAATAATTTTCTGGCAAAAATTGTCACAGAAACACTGGTAACACTGGTAACTGGACTTCTTTAGGACATTTCACCTCTCATGGATTGTCTTCTGCTTTCAAGCTCTTAAGACCACCATGATCTAGATGACTGAAAACCTGCTGAAAAGGGGGGGGACCAACCAACTGCATGTTCATAGCTATGGAGTAGGATGTCATAAAAGCTCCTGTTGGTATAATGTGGAGGTAGCTTTTGTCCATATATTATGTCATATGACCGGTTCATTTACTTACATTCACTTTAAATATGAATTCTCTTTATCCTTTAGTCATTCACTTCACTGCTTACTGCCTGCTTGTTGGTTCCCATTTGGCAGATTAAGTTTTTGTCAATCGCATCATTTTGCTCTCTTTTACAGTAACTTTATTGTTGAGAATCCCGGTTTCTTCTTTCCGTTGCTTCTCCATCAGTCAGTCAGTGTGTAAACACTCACTAGTCATCTTTTGGTTCCTACTACACACCTGTGAAGTTTTGTAAATGCACAGTCGGGACTCAGGTGGATTCTGTACACAAATGACAGACAGTTAATCACTTGCTCAAGAACTTAGAGCCTCCTTTACTCTGTGGGTCAGAGCAGAGACTCACAGAATGGAGACAGAAACAGCTAGCCCGATGCGTTGATGATAATATGCAGAATAAGCTGCAAGATTCGTTGCTTGAGAAAAAGTAAGAATACAATGTGATTTGGTCTAGGCCATACTTACAAAGCAGTAGAAGTGTCTTGCTTTGCAGATTAGATTAAAAACTTAAAGTATGGATGATTTCTCATTTCAAATATTCACAAGTTTGATTGTCTTTTGTCTTCCACTTGCCTATTGATCAATTAACCACCGCTTCCTGTACCAAAGCCAAGGTGAAAGGTAACCCTCCCCTCCCAAAAACGAACAAGTTAAATTTCACAAAAACTAATTTAAGTGGTGGAGCAAATAAGAACCCGTTCATTTTGGTGCTGCTCCGATTTGTTTGCTTAACACTGCAAGGATGGAGGGCTGTGCTTTCTGAGTGGCCTTTTACTTTATGTATGTTTTCTCCATCCATCCTGTTTGGATGTATTTCACAGCTACTATAGGGCGAGAGGCAGGGCGCACCTTGGACAGGTCACCAAGCTGATGCAGGGCTAACACAGAGAGACAGACAGCCATTCACACTCACACCTATGGGCAATCTAGATTCACCACTTAACCTAATCCTACTAACTGCACGTCTTTGGACTGTAGGAGGAAGCCGGAGTACCCGGAGAAAACATACAAACTCCATGCAGAAGCCCACAGCCAGTGGGCACAACAGTACTAACAACGTTGCCACCGTGCTACCTCCTTTACATTTTCTCAGCATTTTAAAATAACGGAATACTGATAAAAAATATAAAGTGGATCCATTACATCAAGGTCCATTACTATTCGGAGGTAAATCAGATTTGAGTACAAAAATGTAACATGCTGACTTACTTTCATTTATTCTAATGGTATACACTTTATTAACTTTATCAAACCACTGGTTTACTCACAAAAGGTTCTCAAAATTGAAAGCCTTCAAAAATGAAAATATATTGTAAAATACTGCTTTAGTTTTGTGGATATATATTCATATATTTTGCTAAAATCTAGTGATGTTATCTGGCAGTTTAGAAATGTCATTCAGAGCAAAACAAACAGGATGCTTAATTCTGTAATTTGTTTATGTGGAACTGACATGATGAACACCGATGAATTTAGTACACAGATTAGTGCTGGTATGCATCATCTCTATAAAAGGGAGTGCTGTAAACACTGCTCAGAGTCTGTTTTTGTCGTAGCGGTGGAGTCCAGGCTGACCATGGATACAGGGGTATTCACTGTACCAAGTAGCTGTAAGCCGGGCTGTAGAGCTTTAGGTGGGAGGATTCACAGCCTTGCATGAGTGTACACTCAGAGCGGCCAGGAAACAGCTGGTTGTGCCGCATGAGGTTAGAAAATGACTTGAACTGACAGACGGTAACAACCAACACTCAGTCACTGTCATCTAAACAGCAACACAGGTAATGAGTCAAAGTATTTGGAGCTTTCCATCACAGCAGGGCGGCATTATGTCGCCCAACCCACTGGATTTAATTTATTAATCACTACTGATGAAATTCAGTGTGTATAGCTGCCTCCTAATGATGATAAACCATAGCCGATAATGTACTCAGTCTGTTATGAAGCCACACAATGCTTGGCAAATCTTTAGGAGATAACTCTCTATTAATAGATCGAAGATACACATTCAACTGGGATCTCTTAATTCCAGGGAAAGCCATTTTTCCTGGTGGGGAACAAAAGAGAATTACCAAGGCTCGGCTGTCAAAAGATAGCTCATGCAATGCTGAGCTGAATCTTTTTGAATATTGATAATAGTGTGTGAGTATGGTGGCGGACCGGTCAGCAAATATAAGAGAAGGATAAAGAGCTGCCAGTCATCACCTTAGGGTTGGTAATCCTCACCTCCGCGTCTAAAGGTCAGGAAAAGGTTGTGTAGGCCAGCGGAAAATGAGTCACCATCACACACAGCAGCACGTGAGCTGCAGCGGGCTTACAGTAGCCACGTGTGCAGCGTGATTGTGTGAATACATCACTTAATGGGCGCTAAGCTCCCTGTTATTTTAAAGGGTGTAGTTAAGAATGATACTCACTGTGTCTGGATGCCTCTGTGACAGAAAAACGTAATCAAACGTTTAAGCAGACAGAAATGATGCAGGTATTGAATTTGGAATTTGGAATCTGAATGTGAACAGCTTTTATCCCCCTGAAAGATTCTGGGCACAAGAACAAATCGCTCTCTTAGGGTCTTCATGGGGTGCTGAGGTTGCCATATATGGGGCCTTGGATGTGCTGGAGGTTCATTTAAACCTCATTCTCACTTTGCAATGCTGCCTTGACTGACGGCAGTCAAATAGAGCATCTCGTAACAGTCGATGTTGTGTGACCGTCCTGCATTCAGTCGTGCGTTTGAAAGGTCTGAGTTCTTCAGCTTTGTTGAAAAATTCTTATTCAGTTTTATGGTCATTATCAAGGATGTATTTTTGGATTCTGGATAGGGTTATGCATGTCTCTACATTGCAAGCAGTGGCTTTGGCTTACAGTTGGTCTTCTGCTAATTGGGAGGTTGGTGGTTTAATCCCTTGCTGTTTCAATCTGCATGCCAAAGCATCCGCGGGCAAGATACTGAAACCCCAGTTGCTCCTGATACATTCACTGTGTGTGAGTGTGTGAATGTTAGATTGTGTGTTTGAATGAATGTGTGTCAATAGGGGAATGACTCATATTTGAGCACTCAAGTACTGAAGAAAAGCCCCATTTACAGCTTTAACATTTGTGAGATTCATTGCAAGACTGTGGCATTAGTATTAATTCATTTGGCACATAAACTCACAGCTGTCTTGAGTCACATTTTCAGGGATTTTATTAAAGTGTCCAGAGTATACAAAAAGTATTTATTGGTTTCTGCATTTGACAGACAAAAAAGTGTGCGAAATCCCCAAACCTCCACATAAAAACTGCTTTCACTTATCAGGGCTTCTAGTCAAATTTTCAGGTTTTTCTACTTCAAAAACACTTTTTTTCATAGTAATATTGTATTCATTAGTAATAATGTAGCAACAAACGGCACAATGTAGATATTTTTATTACGTTTTTTGTGTAAACTTCTTATATAAGTATATGAAATGTGTCTTAGAGAGTTGACTGTGGATTCAGCATTGTGATGGAAAGATTTTGGTCCATACTGAGATGACAGCATCACACAGTTGCTGCAGATTTGTCAGCTGCACATCCATGATGTGAATCTCCCGTTCCGCTTCACGTGAAAACTCCTCTGTTGGACTGACATGTGGTGACTGTTGAGGCCATTTGAGTACAGTGAACTCATTCTCATATTTAAGAAACCAGTCCGAAATCATTTTACACGTGACGTGGTGTGTTATCCTGTTGGAATCAGCCATCAGAAGATGGATACCCCGTGGTCATAAAGGGGTGGACATGGTCAGAAACAAATGTTTAAAAGCCACAGATAAGCTGTGGCCTTTAAATATCCCACACACATTTACACCACCCTCAGCAGCATGAACCATTGATATAACACAGATGGATCTATGCTTTCATATTGTTTACATCTGAATGTTGCAGCAAAAAATGGAGACTCATCGGACGAGGCATCACTGTATGAATTGTAGCCTCATTTCCTGTTCTTGGCTGACAGGTGTGACTGTCTGTTGCTTTAGCCCGTCCACTTCAAGGTTCTATCTGTTGTGCTTTAAGAGATGCTCTTCTGCATACACTGGTTCATACACAGGCTTCCTATCAGCTCAAAGCAGTCGGGACATTTTCTTCTCACTTTAGGCATCAACACTGCATTTTACATCAGAGGACTGCAGCTCACTGGATATTTTCTCTTCTTTGGACCATTCTCTGTAAACCTTAGAGATGGGTGCTGAAATCACCTCTCCTCCCTGTTATGATGCTCGGTGTGAACTACAGCAGGCTGTGTTGACCTGGTCTACTTGCTCCCACATGACTGGGTGATATTTTAATTTAACAAACATTTGAACAGATGCACCTAATAAACTGGCAGGTGAGTGCTTATACAATTATGTATACAAATGATAAAGCATAGTAAGAAACAAGAAAAAAAAGCTCTTAAACACATTTAATAATAACACACTGACTATACCACAACACTATACTTTAACTATACTTAAAGTGTGATGGTAATAATGGAAAACTCAAGAATAAAATATCAAATTTCCTTTATTTACACAACAAGCCGTATTATCAAAAACAACATTGTCCATACATTTTGTCTAACTTTATTAAATGTGACTTCTTTATTTATTTATTATATTTCTAAATACCAAATAGGCAATATTGCATTTAAACAAAACGATGGATGGGACATTTACAAAAAATTTACTTTCAAATGTGAAATAACGAGAGCGTCCTAACTGAGGTTAATGCAGGTAAATGAAGAGTCCCGTGACTAACAGATGCTGACAGTTCATGGTTTCTAATCATTTACTTTCCAATTTAAGATAAACTGCAAGTAAAGGGGGAAAAAAAGTTCAAACTCAGCACCCAGCATCTGACAAGGATAAGAAAAACACCTCACTGTACATTAACTAATTGTAATAGGAGCAGATGAAAGCCTGGGGTTCCCAGCACGTAAAGTCGTTAAACTTCCCGTTTCCTGAAAAAGACGGACAAACACGGGGTAAGAAATAAAGTAAGTGTGTCTAATAATTTAATGTGAGATCAGTTCAGCTTTATTGAATAATCATATTTATTCAGCAACGTAACTTCTTACTGACTGGTTGAATAATTAATTCAGAGCCATCTTATGAGTTTGGGAAAAGTTCGATTTAACTAACATAACTACACATTTTTGCATAATTTGCAACAACACAGACAGATTATCCTTTTAAATAAATAAATAAAGAAATAAAGAAAGAAAGAAAGAAAGAAAGAAAGAAAGAAAGAAAGAAAGAAAGAAAGAAAGAAAGAATGTCCATGTAAGTATAATCAGATAAACACTGTTTTAGGAGCTAGATTGCACCTAGATTGCAGAATTGTTCCGCATAAATTTTCACAAGCACCACCACCACTATTTATGTATTTTGGGCTTCTTTCAGCTTTGTAACACTGGTATCTGTGCGTTAGTGATGCTAAAAAAAATGCTAAAAACAAAAATGAATTAACACAAATGGAGAAAAATGAACTAAAATAAACATCTTGGATTAAACCGACTCATACCCCAAGGCAGAACTTCCAGGCAGTTCTCCTTATTTGCTGTGTTATTGGGCTCCCCTGACAGCCAATCAGCGTAGTCCCATTTGGACCCGTCCAACCAGATGAAGCGACCAGTCTGACATGTAACAAGAGATTAATGAGAGTTAATCAAGAGCAGTAGTTTAACATAATGAGTCTCTAGATACAACACATCAGGGACACGAACAAGGTCTCATAGTGCAGTTAATACAAAGGTAAATCATTATTTTGTGCGCTCAACAAGTTCAAGACCTCCACAGATCCCCAGCTCAAAATACATACGTCTAGAAATCGAAGCCCTCCAATCCATGTGCGCGTATACTTTCCATTTTCCTTCAGTATCATCTTCATCAGCTCAGCGTGGTTGTGATTGCTTGTGATGGAGGCCAGATGGCCACCGGGGAACGTTTGGCAAAAAAGCTAAAAAGGAAACAGTGAAAGATCCACATTAATGTCAGAGTTTATATGGAGTCATTGGTGCTTAAATTGAATTACAGAGGATGCATGAATACCTCAGCATTTGCAGGCGTCTTTGGCCCTTTAAAGAACTGGTAACACTTCTCTCCTAGTACTACACCAGGGCAAGAGCGCCGCCCTGTGGTGAAAATTGAGATTACAACATTTAGTAATTTAGCTGGCCTCAGAATATGCACACATGACTACATTTCTGTCACTCTAATTACTTTCTTTGTGCATATTCAATATGGGTGTTTTACCTTGCATGGCTTGTTTGAACCTGCTACGATTTTCTTCTTCTGACACCAGACCAGTCGGCTCACCATCATCAGGCTCAATCTGGTCTTCTGTTTCTGGCTCTCCATAGAGCTGCACTTGTGATTTTTCTTCCCCTGCGAGTGGGGATTCCTGTTCTTCAGACCTCGCTGCCATCTTAGCTTCTTCATTTGGAAAATAGTTTTCCATAAGTGACACTGGCTGCTCCATTATGTCCAGCGCTGGCCCTTCTTCCAAGATACCAGGATTTTGAAAAGGCTCTTCCATCATCTCAGGCTCCAGTTCCATCACTGGTTCTTGATCTAAAGCATAGTCCCGCTTCCTCATGAACAACTCCTCTTCTGGCAAAGGTTCAGCTGGGCTATTATCATCTAGAGGCTCTAACTCCATGATTGGCTCATCCACCATTTCATTTTTCACCTCCTCATCCTCCTCCTCCTCTGGCTCAGGTTCAATGAGTGACTCTTGACTCTGAAATTCTGCATTTGCAGCCTTTTCTTCTTCTTCTGTCAGTTCTGATTCAAACAGGTTGTCATCATCTAGAGGCTCTAACTCATCCACCATGTCATTGTGACTTTCTTCTTCTGCTTCTTCTACCTTTTCTTCGTACTCTTCTTCTTCTTCTTCCAGACCAGAGTGAGCTTGAAGCTGCATAGGCTCCTGATAATTTTCTTCATCTAACATGTGCTTCTCCTCAGGTTCTAGCTCCATTAGAAGTTGATCTGGCTCAACTTTTACCTCTGACTCCACCTGGAACTCGGGGTCATCTTTGAGCTCTTGGTCACCCTCACCTTCTGGATTAACTCCAGCCATTTGAGCCTCAGCTTCCACAGGAACCTCTGCTTTAACTTCTTGCTGTGCTTCAGACTTTTCCTCCACCTTAACTTCTGGCTTCACTTTGACTTCTAGTTCCACTACACCTGCTTTCTCCACCTCAGCCTCAGCCTCAGGCTCTGCTTTCACCTCTTGCTCTTCATCTGGCTTTACTTTAACCTCTAGTTCTGCCACATTCTGCTTCAGGTCTTCTTCAGCCACTTTTTCCTGCTGCTCTTTGGAGGGTAGTACGGCCTGTGGTGCAGGATTCTCCACCTGTACATGACCCTGCAGTGGAACCGAGTCTCCCAGCAGAGGGAGCTGGTTTTCTTTAGTTAAAACTGGACTTTTTTCCACACCACGGGGTAGTGCTGGCAATGCCAGAGCCACTGCAAAGAGAAAATATTTGAATAATTACTGAAGAAATCACACAGACATCAAACTTTAATAACAAATGCTGTGGCTTCTTTTGGTAGTGATCTACCTTCTAATTGTGGGGGAGCCTGGTAGGCCTGTTCAGTTCAATAGCTAACAATCCTCAACCCAGCTTTGGTTTTGAAACACTATATAAGTGAAGTTATAAATGTTCTAACCCATTAAAAATAGCAACATAATCATTACTAGCTGTTATATCAATATAACACCTAGAAAGCTGCTCATAATGAGTGAATGAAATGTTTTGATTTGATTGATTACATCTTACAAATGACTTCAAATCTAAATTGATTTCAGCTATTTAGGAGAAAAAGACCGTAAAGAGCACAGATCGGTCACGCTCGAGCAGCCTCTTACCTGCAAGGCTCAGTGAGAGCAGCGCTGGCGTCTTCATCTTCATCTAGATGTCAAAATCTGTAAAACTGTTTCATTGACTGTAGACTGATTGACCATTAATGTTTAGCATCTGGGTTTCAACTGTTGGATTGTGCACTTTGAATCTTTATAAATAGTGTTAGTCCCTCCCATTTCATTTAAATTTCCCATAAACTCATAAAGGTGGGTCGTCTCCCGCCCTTATCTTGTCTAAAGTGCTGTTTTTTTTTCTTTGTTTCCTTCTGGCGAAGTATAAAGTTCATGTTGTTCAGGGCTGCAGACTTGATTCAGAGGTCTGACCTCCAAACAGATCAGAGTAATAAATGATGTCAGTAAAAGACATGAAATCTGATCACTGTTTTCACGTGCGCTTGTTTTCGACGCCTGACACGTGAGCAAATAAAAACTGAAAACGTAAACTGCTTGTTTATCTGTTGGTTGAACTTTGATAGCTTTAGGAAGTAGAACAAAAAGCGTGCTTGACAACAGATATAAAGAAATATTGGCGGATGCCGGTGTTATCTCTAAGCCTCCTAGTAAACGCGTCTATGGTATAAATGTGAAAATCCTAGAACGTTGAGCATGACGTTGAGTTCAGCATCGCTGAGCTTCAAACTCTTACAAGATTTTTAGTAGCTAAACCAATGTTATCACTTTGAAAATAGATGACTTCCATCTGGAGTTATCGTATTTACAAATTCAGGCGTCCATGATGCCCACCCACACATCAGGGTGACGACAGTACTTCATCGGCCTTTTACAACTGAGTAGTAAAAGCTGAAGACTGTCTTAAAGAAATACAGTATGAAAGTATATAGTTTCCTAGTAAGGAATGTTGATATTTACCTAACAAACTAACCTTACAAGCTATAACATCAAAAGTTTGTACAGAAATAATTGTCATGTGTCTCCACAATAACCCACCACACAGTCAGATACTGATTATTAATTTATTATTACTATTATCATTTTCTCTCTTGGACAAAATCAGGACCAGTGCTTTTAATTTGCAGTAAAAGCAAATAAAATCAATATTCAGTGCAACGAAATGTAAATATTCTCCATCTAGTTCACATGCAAATATAATATCTTCATCCCTTCACAGTAAAAACTAAAGGTGTTTATCAGATATAGAGCTTGTTTGGATGTTTTTAGGCTTCTCATTCTCTGCACTTCTACTGTTAAAGCATACAACAATACAGCAAAAAGCAGTGAACCCCATAATGCACATCTACGGAAAAGGTTCTCACACCCTTACAGTGACTTTCTTTAAGTAGTCAGTCGGGGAAAAAAATGCAAATGAAGGAAAATCTCTGATGGATTTAATGGAAGCAATTACAGTTTATCCAACCGAAACATGTCAGGCACCTATGGATGTGACATCCTGGAGGAGCTGCACTATCTGTGGATCCTGAATGTGCTGCAGGGACCGTCTCATATTACCAGCAGTGACAGACAATAACAGAAAGCAAAAGTAGAGAAAAATCAGTAAGGAAAGAGCCAGTCTGTGGCCACCAGCTTCAAAGCCTTTCCCTTTTTTGGGAGGGTTGTCGTGTTGTTGCCTCTCCAGTGCACCTGTTGTCACTTGGATTTTCACTCCATTCAGTTTCCACCAAACCAAAGCAAAACATTAAATGGCAGCTGTGTCGCTCAATATTCATGGACTGTGGTCAAATCCTGATCCTCTGTGATATGTTCAGGTTTTACAAGTTGCTGAATGTCGCTGTTTGATTTATTAAGAAAGAGATCGTCGGCCAGTAGACTGCTGCTTTCTAAGAGTATGTTGGATACTCTTACGCTGAACACCATGGGGATTATTGCAGTCTCTCTTTGTTTTTTGTATGAATGACTGTATTAAATATTTTAGAAACTCTGTGATGAGAGCAAGGGTGAGCACAGCGACAGTCCTGATCTCATAGTGTGGCTCAAGGTTGTTGGTTTGAGTGATATCAACAAAACAGAGCTGGGATCTCTGATAACTTTGGCAGCTCCCAGTTTGGGTTCAGGAGACAGACAACCACTCTACTTTTAAGAATATGTTTAAAACTTTGCTTTTTAATAAAACTTACAGTTATAGCTGGATCAGGTTTCCCTGAAGCATCTCTTGGTTATGCTCTTACAAAGAACAAATCAGGTTTTTGTTGTAGTAAAGTGTGAGGAGGACAGCTGCTCCGCTGGCTGTTATCAAAGGTCACCGTGCATTTGAAAGTCACCCGTCCTCTGAGATTCACTATCTGACTGACTTTGTTTCTGTATGTTTGTGTAAAGTGAGCAGTGGTTGCTGAGATGTGCTGCTATGCATGTGCATGTGTGTGTTACATGACATCAGTGTGTCCCGCTCCGAGCAGAGCAGCTGGGACTGTCGATTGTGAACAGGTGTTGCAGCTGAGATTTAGGGAGTTAGTGTTTCACTGTTTCTCTTTGTGTGTACTTACGCACACGTGTCTGGATGTATGTCCCCCGTGTGTGTCTTTGTGTGTGCGTATGGCCACAAATGTAAGCATGTGTGCACATTAACCAGAATGAGTGACAATGTGCCGTTGTGTGGGCGCTGGTGGTGAGAAACCTAATAGCCAGAGACACAGTAGCTCAGCAGCAGCTGCCACTTCTCTCCGACTTAGGCTCATCACTGCAGACATATGGAAAACTCCAACCTCTGTGATTTCCATTCTTTATATGCAGGCAAAGGGTTACATGTTCCCAAGAAATACTTAAAATAAGTAGAAACACAAAGGCATCAAATACATTTATTTGTACGATATAAAGGCCTTTCATGAACAGAGCCCTTTACAGTACAGTTACCTCTACAACTGCAATTCTGGAGTTGCTGCATGGTTTGGGACTCCGGTGGACCACGGTGAGAGCCATTATTCATGACTGGAGAAAACTTGGAACAGTGGTGAACCTTCCCAGGAGTGGCCAACCTACCAAAATTACTCCAAGAGCGCACTTTCAACTCATCTAGGAGGCCACAAAAGAACCCAGAACAACATCTAAAAGAACTGCCTCACTTGTCTCATCCATGGGAGATTTCTGCTGAGTAAAAAACTCCACAAAGTCTCGACTCACATTTGCCAAAAAACATCCTGATGATTTGACTTTTGGGAAAATATTCTGTGGACTGATGAGACAAAATTAAGCTTATAGGAAGGTTTGAGTCCCGTCACATCTGGTGTAAAACTAACACAGAATATCATAAAAGAACATCATACCAGCAGTCAAAGATGGTGGTGGTAGTTTGATGGTCTGGGGCTGCTTTGCTGCTTCAGGATGAAACCATGAATTCTGCTCTCTTCCAGAAAATACTGAAGGAGAATGTCCAACCATTAGTTTGGGTCCCTTGGCTTATAAATGGTCCATGTTTTCACTCCTGCTCTTACTCATATTTGTGTAAAGGATAAATAACATATAAAAATAATTTACACGATGAATGTACATCCAGTAATTTTTAGCTTTCGTTCAGTCGTTTGTCTCTACCAAGCAACAACCTTAAGTGCTAGAAACTGAAGCCAAAGTTGACGTGTCAGGCCCACTTGAAGCTGGCTCCTAAAGTTTTAGTATCTATAGCTACTTTCTCCTTTTCATAACAACTTTATTTTGGGAAAATGTTTTTCTATAATTCGTCCACTTTGATACTAGAGTTTTGGTGTGGCTGCTTTGACTGTCCAGACCAGGCAGCTGTCAGCAGGTTTCACCTCTGCAGTCACTAAACTGTTGCTATTGGAACCTTTTAACCCCCTGAGGTCTAAGTCATCATTAGTGGCTAACCCTATATTAGTCAGCGAAAGGCAAAACAAACATGTACATATTATTTTGATGTTTCTTTGTTGCCTGACTGGGAAAAAACGATTCAGCTTGCTAGCCAGCATTAGTGGATAAATTAGCAGTCAACCCTCTCAATCAAATTCACCCACTCACATATGGTGTCAAAATACTGTGATGGCAGCAGGTAAAACTAAAGGCCATTATACACTGAACACGTTGTGAAAAATCAACATGAAATTCTCAATTTTACAGATCGGAACTTGCCGTGTGAGTTATATACACACCCAACACAAGAAACTCAACACGTTCTTAAACAAGAAAAGGAGGAAATGGGGATTCTGATTTCATCCCATTTTCACGAGACAGCAGCAACTGGGAGAATTCCATAGTTTGATCCAGTAGTTGAAGCTGGATCACGGCCGCTTTCGTATATGTTTCAGTGTGCCAGTTTGAACTCTTGGGAGCACATCTGTGGAGGCAGGTAAATCCTTTCAGAGAGCCTATGAGCGCACTTGTTGTTCCGACACAAGAAACTGGAAAAATCTCAGTAGGTTACAAAAATAAATGCCAGTGAAATGACATGGTCAGTTGAACTGCTGCATTAAGAATACGTGAGTCCGAAAAATATTTTGACTCACGAAATATTCACAGGGATTTTAAAGCCCTTTAGGCTGAGGCTTCAAAGTGTGAAGAACAATCTATTTCCATCTTTTATATACAGTCTGTGGTCTCTAGAGACTACAAAAACGATGTGATGTACAAAAACCTCCAAAGAGCTTAGTGACAATGTAATTAATAAAATGTGTTTCATGTAACGAATCCTCAAACGCTTTTGTGTTTAATGGCTGAAGAAACCATTCAAAAGCTTCCTTTCTCATTACTACTACATTACTACTCGATACTACTACAGCCGGGCAGGTCCCCCTGTCAGAAAGAAAGGCTCATGTTTCCTCTCTGAGAGCAATTGTCTGAGAAGAGGGGGTGGTCACCCTGAACTTGTGCACGAGCCCCGTAAGTTGTCCGGGATACGTGAGCGCGCACGTGGCCGTTGCACATGAAACCTGAAGAAGCTGCAGAGAGTTTAGAGTAAAACTCATCTGCTCCAGTCCCACGGACACCGACAGACCTCAGGAAAGAGCTCCGACACCCGAGAAAAGCCATGAAGATGCTGGCGCTGCCTCTGCTCATCACCATTTTGCACAGTGAGCTTTTTATTGTGTTCAAAACTTCAACAATTTCTGTTTTGATACTGAATCAGAGAGTGTGTGCAACTTTTAGAGTCAGCCAATTTTTACGTTGCATTTATACACAGTAACAGTGCAAACATGTATCCATACGC